AAGCTTATTAACGACCTTCTTATCTCTTTTGAATACTTCGATTACGCATACGTGTTTTTTAAAGCCGCTAGCAACGTGCTAGCATTATATAAGCTTTACGATTATAAAATCGAGCTTTTCGAAAAAAAAGAAAAAGCGCTTCGATACTTATTATTATATAAGATATCGATCTTTAAGCTAAAGCTTATTAAAGCTTACTTTATCGACAATCTTAATAAAGGTTTTATCGAACTTTTAACAGCGCTATTTACAGCTTTAATCTTGTTTATTAAAAAGCAAAACGGTTCTTTCCGCTTTTATATTGACTTCCGCGCGTTAAACAACTTTACTCGTAAAGATCGATACCTTTTCCTTTTGATTAATAAGACTTTCGCACGTCTTTTAAGAGCTAAAATCTTTACGAAACTCGATATTCAGCAAGCCTTTTATAAAATACGGATAGACTTAGCTTTAAAAAAGCTTATAACATTTAAAATACGCTACGGTGCTTATAAGTGCAAAGTTTTTTTATTCGGACTAACTAATAGACCCGCTATTTATTAACGCTATATAAATAACCTTTTTTTCGATTTTTTAAATATCTTTTATATAACATATTTAAACGATATCTTAATCTACTTTTTCGACCTTTTAAAGCACGCTTATTACGTCCGTTAAGTTCTTTAACGACTCGACGACGCTAGCTTTTAAACTGATATTAAAAAGTGCGAATTCAATATTATTAAAGTAAAATACTTAAGCTTTATCATTTTTATCAAAAGCTTAAAAGTAAATCCGGATAAGACGTCGATAGTAAAGTATTAAGCGCTTTTTATAACCGTTAAAAGCGTTTAAAGCTTTTTTAGATTTTATAACTTTTACCGTCGATTTATTCGAAACTACGGCGTAATCGCAAAGCTTTTAATGCATTTGATTAAAGCTAACGTTTCTTTTTTATTTAATTCTTAATATTAAAAAAGCTTCGACTTCTTAAAGCTCGCTTTAATTATTGCGCTAATTTTATAACTTTATAACTAAAACCTTTTTTATATGTTAAAGACTAACGCTTTAAACGGCGTAATCGCTTTAATCTTCTTTTAAAAGCATAATTCCGATTAGCTATTAATCGCTTATTATTTTAAAACTATAGCTTTTGCTAAGCTTAATTACGTCGTTTACGATAAAGAGATGCTAGCTATTATACGCTTTTTTAATAACTTTCGCGCCGAACTCGCTAGCTCTTTTTATTAAGTTTAAGTAATCACCGATTATAAAGCTTTAAAGTACTTTATAATTTTTAAGACTTTCAACGCTCGTTAAGCACGTTAAGCAAAGCTTTTCTCCGATTATAATTTTATTATTACGTATAGACCAAGTAAAAACAACCCGCTAGCTAACGCGCTAATACGTCGTATCGAAGAGCTCTTTTCTTAAAATAGCTTTAAGCGCACTTAGCGCTTATAAACGCTGCTCCGCGCCCATAACGTTAACCTTCGATTCTTAATCGAAAAGCTACGCTAACTTACGCTTTCGAAAACCGCCGTTACTATCGAAAAGATCGCGGAGCTTTTATCGATATTCCGAATTATTAATTAAGTCTTAAAAGCTAATCGGACCGCTTTTAGTTTTATAACACTTCGAATTTAAGCTTTTAAAGCTAAGTCTTTACTCGTGAACTACGGTTTACAAGCTAAACTTATTATAAAAAGCGACTTGCTGCTTTATAACGGCCGCTTATTAATTTTCGACGTTTAAAACTTGCGCTCGTTACTCGTCCGAAAAGTCTACGATTAAGTATTTACGGCATACTTTAGCTTTCGCAAAACTTATAAGCTTTTTATAATATAATACTATTAGCACGGTATAGCTAGATTCGTTAATTAATATTGCCGCAATTGCTACGCTTATAAACGAGCTTTAATGCTTCGCGATAAAAAACTTAATTTGCTTTAACTTTTCTCGATCTTTTCGCGCTTTTAAAAGCACGTTATTATAGATTTTTATAGCTTTAATAAAGACAAACACGGCTACGATAACGTCTTTATAATAATCGACCGCTTCTTTAAGCAAGCAACCTCGATCTTTTATCATAAGTCTATCGACGCTAAAAGCTTCGCTAAGCTTTATATCTATTATATCTATAAGTATTTCGAAGCTCTTTTAATATTGACTTTTAATAAAAGACTTTAATATTAGTTCGAGTTTTAAAAAGAATTTAATAAAATCTTTAGCATTAAATTAACTTTTAGTACCGCCGTATACTTTAAGATTAACGATCAAACCGAAATCTATAACTAATACTTACAAAAGCGCTTCCGTCTTTTCGTAAGCTATTATTAAAACGATTAAAATGAGTTCTTTTTTATAATAGACTTCGCTTAATTGACGCTCTTTTACGACTCTTTCGGCGATCTTTCTTTTTTTAAAGTAATTTACGGCTACGCTTTTCGGACCACTTAGAATTAAAGCTTAAAACGACTTAACGATTAAACTCTTTTTCGCAAGCTTAATTAAGACGAAGCTCGCGCTTACGCTAACCGCTACTTCGGAGCTTAAAACTTCGCTAAAAAGCACTTTTAGCGCGCTTAAGACCGCATAGCTAAACAAGCTAATAAATCAAAGCGTTCGATTGACTTCGACGTTAATAATAAAGTTTAGTTAAACATACGCTCGTTTTTTATTTTTCGACCGTTAAAAAAGCTCGATAACTTAACGAACGGACCGTTCGAAGTTATCGACAACGTTTATAGCAGCTTTAAACTTAAGCTCTTCGAGTTAATAAAAGTTCATTTAATTTTTTACTTCGAACGGCTACGAAAAGCTCTTAATGACTTTACTTTTAAGCAAATTATTCTTGAACTTGACTCGATTAATATTACTAGCGAACTTAAATATAAAGTAAAAAACATTTTAGCTATACGCTAAATTAAAAAGCACTTTAAGTATTGCGCTTTTTAATTCGGCCGCGATATTAACTTTACTTAATACTTCGCTTTCGACTTTATATACGCTCTTTTTAAAATACGTGACTTTTATTTAAAACACAAAGAGCTCTTCGGCCTTCTCGCGAAGCTCTTCGAATAGATTAAAGCTTATTCGAACGGTATTAATAATTACGATCACTTAAGCAGTAATAAAGTGATAGATAAACGCTCGAAAACGAGCTTTTTTCGAACGAAAGAATAATATGACGACACGCTAAGTCTTTTAAACGCACTTTATATACGCTAAGTTACTTCTTTCTTTTTTTTTTTGTATTTTTCGTATTCTCTTATTCTTCGCTTTTAACTTATGAACTATAGTTCACGAGTCTTTAGCGCTTTTACTTTCGTATATATAAACTTCAGCTACCTTCGACCTTTACATTCGGTAATTGTTGATTTTAAGTCATTACTTTAAGATTTTCTTAAGCTCTTATGTGAACCCCGCGCTCCCGTAAGTTCCTTCAGGTAATCGCTTAAGGTCGTCACAAATAAGCTTTTTTGCCGATATTAACGTGCATCTTAAATTAAAAATATATAGTATATCTTTTAAATAAATAGTCCTTTCGCTTTGCAACGATATTTAAGCAGTCTTAACGCTATCCGAATAAAGCTTTTTTCTTTCGACTTAGATCTTTTTTCGGTATAAAGTTAATAGCTTATTAAATAAAAATAAAGAATCAGTTATATAGCTAATATATTTAATATCGGCGGCTATTAGTATAAATAAAAGCTTATTACGCTTCTTTTAAAATAAGCTAACGAACTTTTCGATATCGAAGGTCTCGCTTAAAAAATTAGATTTCGTATCGGCGGCAAATCCTTTTTTATCTTTGCGAGTGCTATTAAATTTGCTTTTAACACGCTAATTAGACTTTGTTTTATAAAGTAATAAAAAGTTGTTTTTGTATAAAAACTTAAAAAGCTAAAAGATATCGGTCTTCTTTTAAGTAACGGTAGCTAATATATCCGTAACGCTTTATTAGATTCTTCTCTTTCTTTAAAGATGCGAATAGCTTTAATAGCTTTAAAACTAATCTTAGCGAACTAATATATAAGACTAATATGCTTGCTAGAACCGTATTTAAACATTCAGCTTTAAAAGTAAAAGATTAAGATCGTCGACGATTGCGCGATTATCGACCCGAAAAAGCTCTTTTATAAAACGTCTATCGATTAGCTATATAAGCTCTTTCGTTATTCGAATAGTAAGCTGCGAATGCTTTCTCTTAAGGTTTTAATTTGATAATAAACTTTTATTTCTTATTTAAACGTTTTAACTTTTGATTTATTATTATAAAAAAAGTAAAGCTATCGCATAATAATATATATGTTTCTAAAAGTATAAGTTTAATATAAAAGATCAACTAATAGTAATCATCGTCGAATTGATCTTTCTTTAAGCCTTTATATACTTTACGGCGGCATATTAAAACGCGTTTTTAATTATTGCTAAAAGAAATTTTAAAGTCTATACGGAAATTAATAAAAGCTTAAAGCTTGATTTGTATAAATCGGAATGTAATAGCGGTGTAAATAGTCTTTAGCTTTTAAATTATAAATTTGATATCGAAGAGGTCTTTAATCTTTTAACGATCGAACTCGCTAAGCTTTCGAAAAAAGTTAAGTTTAAACTTCGCTATCTCGACTCGAAACGTTTTTAAAAGACTTTTATTTTCATATATCAATTTATCATGTTTATCTTTATTAAGCTTTTTCAAGATCTTTTAAATGCCGTCAGCAATATCGTATCTTTGCAAAAGTGTTTTAATAATAGTTGTATAGCAATATTCGGATTCCGAATAGTTTAATAGATAAGCGACGTCTTCGCTTTAAGCGACCGTCTCGATTGTTTCGAACTATTCGTTTAAATTCGATTTAATAAAAGTCTTAACGCTTTTTTATTATTTTATTCCGGCGAATTTTTCTCGAACGATAATTATGCTAATAAGTCGATAGATGATTGATATAAAGCGTAGTTAATAGCTAGATAATTAAAAAGGTAAAAGGAAGGGAAAGGGTAAAGGGTTCTTATTACCTCTAAATAATACTTCGCACAAAGCGAGAACTCAAGTCGATAAACGAGTCTGCGGGTTGCGTATTGCGAGTTGCGTATTCCGTCACCTTTTAAATATCAAAGGCTTATAACTTATTAAAAGATAATTCTTCTTTATAATAAAAAAGCAAAAGGTGGTTTTAAAAGGTATTGATTTCGGTTATCTAAAGAAGAGAGAGTCCTTGTAAAGAGAAAAAGAACTGTATACAATTCTCTTTTTACGCTAGCTAGCTATTTTTTCTTCTAACTAACAATCATTACCCGTCTCTTCGAAAGTTGCTTGGCAGCAATAGCACAGACCTCGTAGTATAAGAATTTCTTACTTTAACACGATTATAATAAGCTGTATAAGGACAAAGACTAAAGGTTTAAATCTTTGCGTAATGTAGAAGCACCCAAAAAGATGTGCTGTATAGAAGCCTGGCTCTGAAGCTGGACCTTATGGTCTTATAAAAGAGATATCAGAAAAGGTAAGTGGAAAGCTCGTTGATTGTTTTAGTTAAAAGATGTATGCCCTCTTATAGAAGATGGGTCCGTCTAGTGTGGCCTTAATGGCTATAGCAGGTACCTTATCAAGCAAGGTGTTTATATCCGTCCTTTTATAAAATAAGTAGGCGCCCCCGCCTACTATCAAGCAAAGAAGAAAAAAAAGGGGGTATAAAAGAAAGAAAAAATCTAGTATACAAAAAAAAAGGGGGAGTATCTTGTCTCTAAACTTTAAACATTTAAACTATTAAACTACGCTTCGGCAGCTTCTTTATAATCTTTTTCCGTGCTTACGTCCTTAACTTTTTCGTTCTCTTTAAGCTAAGAAGGTCTTTTTCTTTTAGCAAGACTAGCATTGGACGATGACGTGCTAGCAGCAGCATCCTTAAGGGTAAGGGAGCGCGTATCGTTCTTGCGCTTGTTAATTGTATCGTTGATAAGTGTGAACTTGGCCGACGGAAGGTCAGCGAAGCTAGAATAAAGTCCGGAGCTATTAGTTAAGTCGTTTTCGTTTTCGAGCAAGTCACTTAAGGCTTTTATAGCCTTATCGAAAGCGCGGTTTAAGGATTTCGGCTGAGAAGATAATGCTTTAGATTCGTCGATTTGGCTCGTGAACCGTAGTTCACGGGTAGAATTCGCATTTTCTAAAGTGATCTTTACACTTAAATCAAAGTCGTTAAAAGACAACTCAATCGGTCGCAAGCTTTCTTCAAAATCCTTTAACTTGTCGGCGTTTATAAGGTCGTTAGCTCGGCGGCTCTTGCCCTTGGAAAAGGACTTGGCTCCGTAAGTCTTGGCTTTAGCGTCTAAGACAATAGCAAATCCTTTTTTGAATGCCGAAAACAACTTCTTTTTATGCTTGATAAAGTGTTTTTAAAACTAAGTCCGGGACATAGCAAAGATAGCGGTTAATTCTTTTATTACTCGAGGCTCGTTCTAATTTATTCTTTTAATCAAGGCTTTTGATACGAAACTGACGTAGTCTAGCTAGATTATAACGGCGAAAGGCTAGCTTGATTTATTAATAATTCTTTATCGAAAGGTTAACGGCATGCGTTTTAAGACGATAGTGCAAGCGTGCTTTGCAAAGCTGACTCTATTTTTTAAAATGCTATCGTTTATCAAAGCGGTATAATTGTTAAAAAAGATAACTTATCCGTAAAAAGAATTTTAAAAAGCGTTTATGTTTAAGAAAACACTTTGTTTCGTAATAACGGATATAAAAGTAGCGAGATCTATAATTATAGCAAAAGGTTAGCGTAACGCAATGTTCTTAAGAGCATCTAAGGTCTTCGACTTAAGTTTAAAAGCTTTTTATCTAGCGGTCTTTTTAAAAGTGGTGTCGTAAGTATAGCTTTTGGGCCAAATACTTAAGCTTTCGATTTGATTCTTCACGCCGTAAAGCATTAAGTGGTAGTTTAAAACTCTGTCTTCTACTCGTAAACTACGGTTCACGGGTCGTTTAGTGTTAGCGTCGTGTTTGGTCGCAATCACTCGAACATTATTATTGCATTTAAAGAGCTGAAAGGGTTCAAAGTAAGCAATAAGCTTATAGTTTCCGTTTCGGCGATTGAGTAAAGCGGCAAAGTACAGCTTATGATAGCTTCGGAGGACTTGCTAGGTCAAAGAGTGCATTATGTTAAAGAGTGCATTAGTCGGAGCTCCTTTTAAGTCACTAGTCCGAAAGTGGTAAAAGTACATCTAGATCTCTTTGTTTATAATAGTAAAGAAGGTTTAATTGCCGTGCTTATTGTTCAAGAAAGAAGCTCTTAATATAAGCCAAACTTTCGTATAGCTACCCGTATTTAAAGTGTTAAAAAGGCTGTTCTTCTAAGCGGTACCTATTAAGCTAGTGCTCTAGTTTAGCTTGTTAAAGGACATCGGCTTAGCTTTGAACTTGGAAGAGCTTAAGCTAGACATTCTTTTAGCTAAAGTACTGCTCTTAGTCTTAATAGCGAATATCGATTAGTTGCTCGAGTAAAGCATAAAGTTATTAAAGGCGTTGGTTTAAAAGGCTTCGATAAATCGACACAAGTTGGAACGGATCACCGTTGTTGTAAAGCCTTTCGTAGCTAGCTTAAGGTATTTAGCGTATTCGAAGGTGTAGACTTCGCAAAAGACTCTTTTTGACAAGTCGGTAGCGGACGGTAAGACTTTGCGGCTAAAGCGGAGCTTCGTCTGGACGTCCAAGTCAAAGAGTTTTTTAAATCTATCTTTAAATTCTAACACGTTCTTTACCTCTTAAGAGACTTTTATACAGTCGCAATCATCGTTATTAAAGCTTAAATTAAAGATCTCGGACAGCAAAAAGTAGTTTACTACTTTGCTTCTTTCTTTACTTACTTCTATTTAACTACGACGGTCGAAGAGTCGTAAGATCGCGTTGTTAGAAAATTCGTCTTTTAAAAGCTTGCGGATCTGGCTGACAGCTTTCTTAATTGATTCCGCGGCAACTTAAAGAGCATTATCGATGTTCTCGTTTAAGTTCAAGCGGTCGAAGGTTAATTAATAAAAGTTTTAGCAAAAGTTGATAAAAGCTACGTCTATACTTATAAGGTCTTTAATCTCGACGAGTCTTAAGCAGCGGTTCGACATAGCCTTGGCCAGTTCGTACTCGAAGCTGTCTTCTTCTTCAACGGGTAATGCTAGTAGCAGCTGGTTCTCGAAAGGGTCGCGTTGCACTTCAAGTCCAAGGGCTGCAAAGGAGCTCGCGTCGATAGACTTGCGTAAAGTGGACATGATCGAAGCAATTAGTTTAGCGTTCGGGGCTCTATTAACAAAAGATGACGTCGATCTTTAAGACAAAGCTAATAACAGCGAAGGGCGCGCAATAAGTGATCTAAGCAAAAGGGTATTAAGAGCAAAAGGTTGACTTGGTCTTGCTTCGGTTGCTAAGTTATCTTTTATTCGTGAACTATAATTTACGAGTAGAGTTCCGGATTCGGATTCTTTTTGCAAGACGAAACTCTAAGTCTAATTCTCGTCGGCAAACTCTATACGTTTTTTAAGCTCGTCGTATTCGCTTTCTATGTTATCGAGAGCTAAAATCAACAAGCTATACGATAAGACTTTTAATCTTAGCTTTTTCAAGAGTCTTTCGTTAAGAATAGCGATCTTATCTTTCTACTTAGTGTTGTTCTTGTCTTTTACGGTCTAGCAAGTGAAGTTGACTACTGTAGTATTAAGCTTGGTGAACTTGCGTCTTCGAGCTATATTAGCTATAATCTTTTAAAAGGCGACGTAAGCAATAATATAATAGTTGATAACTTAGATAGCGTAAGCGTTAAAGGTGCAGTTCTCTAAAATGACGCTTAATTAGCGAGCGCTGCGGACTAAAGTGCATATAGCCTTAAGGTGGTCGTTATATAGCAATTAGCTTCGAGCGCCGTCGAGAGCTCTTTTGATTCGTTTATATCTTTCGGCGTTCTTGTTGCGTAAAGAGTGGATAGCGGTGACTCTGGTAATAAACTGGTCGTAAGCCGAAAAAAGATCTTCGGCGTTTATATTCTTTCTTGCGCATTCGGCTCGCAAAAACTAGTCGTATTATAAGATCAAGTCGTCTTCTTTACTTAATCTATTGTTAAGGTCGGAGGTTGCTACCTTGAGCATAGCTAGTTAACTAAAGTTGCTTATTTAACGGTAAGTTTAAAAGAACTCATCGAAGGTCTTAATGACTCGTTTTTCGAACTTTAGTTCGAAACTCGATTATCGGGCTAAAGCAGCTTGCTCTTCGCTTATTGATAGGCTAAAAAGTGCATCCCGGACAAAGGCTTTTCTTTTAGCGGCGGCTGACTTAAAAAGCATATTTGACTCGTAAACTACGGTTTACGAGCTAAACATAAGATAACGGAATAAAGCTAATAGTAATAGTGATCGATTAAGTAATGATTAAAGTCGTTAGTATTAATATAGTATTATGTAATTGTAAAGAAGAAGTAATAGTAATATTGTTGTAATTATTATTATATAAAAAGAGAAAATGTTGAGAAAAAAGAAGGAAGAGCTTTCTTATATAAGTACATTTGTAAAGAAGACTTATTCTTTTTAATAGCAATTCACCTTCGAATATACGTAGTTAAGCACGCTTAAAATAAAAGAATAGTCTTAAATAAAAAATAAGAAATAGCCGTGTAAGCTTAAACAAGTGAAAAACAATCAAACAATAAAAACAATCTATGTAAGACAAGTGAATAGCTAATAAGGTGAAAAGAACAAAGAAAGAATAGAGAATACAATGAAAGGCAGGTCCAAAAGTGAGAGAACAAACGTAAGAAATACCCTTTTTTATTAATAATAAAGAGAGTGATCATTAAAAGCACGTCCCTTTATAAAATAAGTGTAGAACAAAGAGAGGATAAGAAAGTAAAAAAAAACAAAGTAAAGGAAACAGATTAAGAAACAATTTTATAAATTAGTTTTTGTTTTTTCGAAAGTGTTAAAGGAATGATTTAGAAGTTAGTAGACTTAAGTTTAAGGGTCACCTTTGAGTTGAGTAGTTCACTTTTGCCGTCGTCGGAAAGCTCGTATTCGCTAAGGTCCGAGTCGTTTAAAAAGCCCGAATTTTCTTCTTCTTTTTCTTCGTCGTCTTTATTAAAAGGAAAAAGGGTTTGGTTGCGGCGGTAGAATCGCTTGAAGCGGTTAGCTGCAAAGGTGCTTTTAAGCTTAATCTTATCGGTTTCTTAAAGCTTGTAATATCTTTTATTATAAGCTTTAAAGACGACATAAGGTCTTAGCTATCTGTAGTCCAGCTTGGTGTCCGCGGACATGTCGATGCTGCGTTTAATATCGTAAAGCAGTACTAAGTCTTTTTCTTTAATAAGTTCCGACTTCAAGACTTTAACTCGTTCTTAAGTGGCTTTAACGGCAAGTCGATAGCGTTTCTTCTTTAAGATAATCTCGTCGATATCTTCATCTCGAAGTTTTAATTGTTTGAACTTTATAGCAAGCAGGTCAGCGCGAGATCGAATCTCTTATTAAAGTAGTAATCTTTAAACTAGTTATCGTGACTTTAAAAGTAGCTTAGCTTCTCGTCCGTAGTTTAAAAAGAAGAAGGTGATTTTAATAAGTGCGTGTATCGATGTCCGGATTGCAAAGAGCATCTTATTGAATTTGCGAATCTAATCTTTGAATCTTTCGTTTATGACTTTCGATAAGCTATTTAAGATGTCTTTATAGCCTCTTTCAATCATTCTATTAGCCTTTGAATTATAGCTTAAGATTTAGACCCTTTTGATCTCGTACTTAATAGCGAAAGCCTTAGCAACTGCTTTGTTCTTAAGTCCTTTATCGATAGTCAGTCTTTCGAATAGTCTATAGCAGCAAACGATATCCTTTTAAAGGAACTTAACAATGGATTCGACGTTGGCCGATCGAAGTAGCCGCTCTTCCGGCTATCCAAATAGATCTTCTTTAGCTAGTACGAAGTAGGTTATTCCTTTGTCGATAGTAAGAACTCGTGACACGTCTAAGCTGACTTTTGATTATATTTAAGTAAACTAAGTCGGGTACAAAAGGTTTTCTGTTCGTTCAGCTTTGCGCTTTTGATAAGGCTTATAGCTTTGGACGAAAGCCTTGCAGTCTTCGTAGCATCCATTCTAGAAGAAGAATTTTAACGTGCGGTGGTAAGTTGACTTAGCTCTTTTATATCCGGATTTTCGATGAGCGTCGGAAATAGCAGTGTAGCGTTTTTAAGTTCCGTCGACAACCAGCTTGATCGAGTAAGAATTGTTTGTTCGCTTATAAAGGTAATTATTTTTGACCAAGTAATTGAATGCTTTGTTTTTGAATTTCTAGAAGTCGTAAGTCTTAATCGAAGGAAGGCGTTTAAAAGTAGTAAAGAATTAAGCAATAAGCTCGGAGTCGAGCGAGTAGTCGTGCTTTAAAACTCTCTTTTTAGCCCGTGAACTATAGTTTACGAGTCGTTTAACCGAGAATACTGAAACAATGCTCAGCTCGTTAGTGACTTAATCGTTAATATCTTCTTCCTTTCTCTCTTTAATATTTGAAAAATGCTTTTTTTCCTTTTTAAAAAGACCGTTCGCCGCTGTGTTTTTAGTCTTAAAGATATGCTTGACTTTAAAGTCTATTAATCTCATCTACGCAATCTAGTTCGTAACGAAGGCTTTAAGCAAGTCGCTTGCTAATCCGTTAAGTTGATCAATTAGTACTTTAGCGTCGGTTTCTAAGATGAAGTGAACTTCGTATAATTCGCTTTTCATCTTTTTCATAGCTTTTAAAGCACCGCGGCATTTTCGCTTAGTCGCGTCGTACTTGCTTTCTGCAAGGTTCCAAAGACCATTCTCGAACTTAATAAGATATCGCTTTTTATCGGAATCTTTTTGCTGTAATACTGCTCTTTATCCTTTAAGACTAGCGTCTACCGTTAAGTAAATTTTTCCTCCGTCCTTGCTATAGTCGATCTTAATAAGAGCGAAAGCAAAGAGCAAGGCTTCTTTAAGCAGCTTTATCGCTTTTTGCTAAAGCTTTAACTACTCGAATTCGACCCCTTTTCTTATCGTCGCGTAAATTAAAGCAGCAATCGTAAAGAAGTTTTTAATCTAGATTCTATAATAAATTACGATGCTAATAAAAGCTCGAGCTTCCGATACGTCTTCGCACTTAATTCATTTTAATATCTTTTTAATTTTAACGATCTAAAAGTAGCGTCTTTCGCTATTTATAACGAATCTAACGATATTAAGGCTAAGCATGCAGTATTAGGATTTCGTTCCGACGGTCGTCCTAGCTTTTTTAAACCTTACGAGCACTTTATCGATATTTTAAATATGCTTTAAGACGAATCGTCGAATTCCGAGCAAAACTTCTTCGTAATTATAAAAAGATCGCGATCTTTTAACTCTTACGTTATTTATATAAAGCAAGCAGACGTTAAGAATGCAGTTTATAAAGATCTTATAAATGACTTTAACGAATTAAGCGATCGAATTAATAGCTTTTATAAGTATCCGGGTCATCTGAAGCAGTTTGATAAGCGTTTGAATAGCTATCATGTCTTTAAACTCAACGTCGAAAAAGAATTGATCGTATCTAAAGAAGAAATCTAAGAGTATAGCTATCGTAAGACCGGCAAATTCGTTCGAGAACTAGTCTACGTTCGGAGCAACATTAGCGTCTTTGATCGTTATACGGTTCATCTTAATTACGGCAATGATCAGCTTGTATTTTCTTTTCTTTTTTTTCGTTATAATGAACCATTTGTTCCGATAAAAGCTTTAGCATAATTCGAAGACTCTTTGCTTTAATCGTTCTTTTAGTATAAAGATGACCATCTTTTGCAAAGCTTTCGGTATCGTAAACGTTTTCTTTTGCTAAGCTTCGTAAAGCACCGTCTTGATCTTTTAAAGCGGCATGATTTCTTTCCGAACTTGGCCAAGATAAGTAAAATCTTAAGTTATCGCTTCTTCTCGATTCAAAAGGCATTAGTAAAGCAGCTCTTTCTTTTCCGAAGTAACTTAAGAACTAATCGTAAGTGCTTTAAATCGTTCTTTCGTTAATCTTGATCTAACTTTTAAGTCTGAAAACCTGTTAATAAAGTATTTCGAAAAAGGTCTTTTAAGCTTAAAAGGTCTCGCTTTCTTATCTTGCTCGAACTAATCGTCGATCCTTTTAAGTATCTCTTTATCCGACACTTTTAAATCCACCGGTTTGACCTTTTCCGCCTTCCTTTTATACATCGTATTAACTTCTATTATATTCCTTTTTAAAAGGTCTTTGTCGTTGTCGATAATAAATATAAAATTTTCTAATTTGTCGAGTTTGATTGCAAATATTTTTAGTATTTTTGATTTTAATAAGCTTTGCTTAATATTAAGTTGAATTATTTTTTTATAATTTTATTGTTTTTATGCCGATCTACTCGTAAACTATAATTCACGGGCGGAATTTCTTTTTAAGCTTCTTTTTAGCTTAGCATCCATTTTAGCTTACATGCTAGCGACTAGTTTCTCGGGTCTTCGATTAAATCCGACTTGTCTTTTGCAATAGTAATTTAGCTTTAAATAGATCGATCGTAGTTTTAAAAAGAGGCTTTCATCGTACTATTATTAAGGTAAGAAAAGGAGAGTTAAGATTCCAAAAAGAAAGGCATGCTTAAGATAACTTCGTGATTACTATTGTTAATAATAAAGAAATCGGCGTAATTAATGATTCCGCTGATAATGACTTCGACGTCGTTTATCTACTTATCGAAGTTGTAAAGATCTTCGAACACGGTAATGTAGATTAAAGCTCGATCCGTTATAATAAGTAGTTTGGCTATCTTAACTACTTTTTTGTTTATCACGTTGACTTTAAATCTATTATCGAAGAAGGATTTGCTTTTGACTATACCGTCGATATTAATAAAAACCTTTAAGGTCTTCATCGCTACTTCGAAGCAGTTGCGAGCGATAAGTTGTTTGCGGATTTGCGTCGCTAAGAGGTCTAGCTTGCTTTCTTCATTCCGACTTAGACGTTTAACAATTAAGGCGTTCATAAGAATAAGCTTACTTTAAAAGACTTTTACGTTTTCTTTAGCATCGAGGACTACTAGAATATAATGGCTTAATAGCTTGTCGAAGCGAGAGCTAAGTCCGAACAGGTCTTCAATTTAGACTTCGATTCTCGATTTCATAATCGCCGCTACTGCTTTTTCTTGAGCTTTAGTAGTAACGTAAGGGTCAATGAACTTCTTTCGTCTATAAGTCCTCTTTTTCTTTCTTCTTGGTATTCGCTGAGTAATCTCAACCTCTCCTTCTACATCCTTTATAGCTTCGTCGGCTTTAGTTGGTCTAAAAGGTCTAAAAGACTCTTCCTTAATTAAACTATCGAACAGCTTATCCTCCGAGTCTATTTTTATAGCAGTACTCGATTCTTGAAAGGCACGAGCTTTAAAGGTGCCGTAATTCTTCTCCTTTTGTTGTCGGATATTCTTCTTGATCTTAATAAGCTTGGATCTTTCCGAAGGCTAGAAAGGCTTTTTGGCTTTGTCCTTTGCGGCGGCGTTGATCTCGACCGAAGCAACCTTTATGCTAGATAAGTGGTTAAGCGTATTGATTCATCTTATAGCATTGATATTTTTAGTGTCGATTAGTCTTTTAAGAATAGTGGTAAGCTCTCTTAGCTGGTTGGTTGGTTGCTGAATATTTTGATCGGGCTGATATTAAGCTAGCTGTTAGATTGGTTGTTGATAAGAGAGTAAGTGTTTATAAGTCTTAGGTCCGCTAATAGGCCGATTCTTTAAGATGTTGTCGTATTCCGTCTTACGAACGTTTAGCACGATAGATCTGAACCAAGTCTTTTTCTGCTTCTTTTAGATGATAAGAGCACCGATCCTTTTAGGTCTTAAGCAAAGGCGTTCGTAATCACTGATGTGAATACATCTTTTATTAACTATGTCTTTAAAAGCTTCACATTTATTTCGGTATTGATAAAGAGCTTAAGTTGTGTCCTCGGAGTTTTCGCAAAAGTTACAATCTTGCATTTGGCTTTCGTATCCTTTACTTCTTCTTCTTCCTCGTCTTTATAATCCGTAGCCGATAACAGCAATCTGAACTCCTCCTTCGAAGCTGATTTTACTTCGGGCATCTTGAGCGGTATATTTAATAAGGGCTTCGTCGCGGTCTTCGAATCGAACTTAAAGTTAGGATTAAACAAAGCGTCGAAAAGTTAAGTTAGCGACTTGGTCTTCGAAGTAATCAATTCGATTATAAATCGCATTAATTTGCAAGTTAAAAAACTTTTTAATTATAAAACTTACTTTGTTAATTTCCTTTTTTTTACTCGTGAACCGTGGTTCACGAGTAAACGGCATTACTATTAAGGCTTTCTTAGCAGACTTAAGAACGCTGGCTAGCTTCGTGTGTTCTTTGATTAAGGTCCGAATATCTTTAATAAAGTTGGTTAAAAAAGACTTTTCCCGATTTATAGCTTCGATAGTCTTAGCGCTTTAGTCGGTTTTAAAAGCGAATGCGGCGAAGTCATTGAAGGCGGCATAAGAGTCTGGGTCGAGTTCGTCGACCTTATAATGCTTGATCGTTTTATTTCGAATTCCGACGGGCAATCCGAAGAAGAACAAGCGGCCTTGTTCGGTCTTGCTTAAAAAGTGCATTAAAGTAAGCTTTTCGGAGACTTAAGAAAAAGTGCGATAATAGTTTTTCAAGTTATTAACATTTTGTTTTTGCATAGCAAATTCCCGTAAAAAGGCGATTAAGTTCTTGATCTGCTAAGTATCGTTTTTACGAAACTCGGCTTTTAAAGCCTTGACGAAGGCAGCTTAATCTTTCTTAGCTTTCTATTCGAGCAAGCTCTTGATAACCTTTTTGCGAAAGTTATCGCAATAACGAAGGAGTTTAATAAACCGATCATTTTTAAAAATACTAAAGTCATTATAAGTTTCTTCGTACTTTTCGATAAAGTCGATAATATTAGTATTATTAAAGCAAGGAGCTCTTAAAGCGCTTAGCAATAGCATGCGAATAGTTATAAAAGCGTAAAAGATAGCAGGGTCGATTATAACTAGCGCAAGGCCTAGTAAAGGAGCAAGAAGAGCAAGAGGAAAAGGAGTAGTATAGATCTTAAGACCGGTGTTCATTTTAAAAGGCATTTCCGAGGCAAGTGTTTCCGATAGAAGTAGCGGTAAAGGTTTAAGTTGAAGGTCGAAGTAAAATAAAGATAGTCCGAAGCCTATAAGAATACGACTAAAGGATTTAACAAATTTAAAAGATTCTAACGAAAAGAAAGGTGATTCTGCGCCGACTTCGATATCAGAAATCTTAAAAAGGTTTTCGGTATCTTAAAGATCAGATATGTGTATATGTTAAGAATGATCGGGTTAATAAAAGGTTTTTAAATTGTTTGATTTTGATTTGTAAACCGGGTTTACGAATAAAATAAGCGATTTTCGTAAGGTATTCTCGATCCGAGATTAAAAAAAGTAGACCTTTTGCAAAAGTAAACTAATAGACAAGATCAAAACTATAAAAAACTTAAGAATCAATTGATTAGCTTCGCTAATAACTCCGGACTATATCAATTGCTTTAATTCAAGATAAGAGCTAAAGTATAAAAGGATATTTTCATTAATGAATGAAAATTCTTTCTTATTGATAATAAAAGAGAGTTTTTACCGAAGAGCCGAAATATTGCACTTCGGCCATTTCGGCGTTTCGGTGTCCGAACCTATCGGGAATAAAGTTTTAATTGTTTTGAAGTCGTAGTTATAAAGTGAAGTGCTAAATGAACGAAGATCAACTTGACTGCGAATCAAGCGATTGTAATAAGCTGTATAAAGACAGAGACTAAAGGTTTAAATCCTTGCGTAAGTCACCAATGTAAAAGCACTTAAAAAGATGTGCTGTATAAAAGCCTAGCTTTGAGGCTAGACTTTATAGTCTTACAAAAGAGATGTTAGAAAAGGTAGGTAGAAAGCTCGTTGATTATTCTAGCTAAGAGATGTGTGCCCTCTTATAAAAGATGGGTCCGTCTAGTGTAGCCTTAGTGGCCATAACAGGTACCCCATCAGGCAGGGTGTTTACAGTAAGTCACTAATATAGAAGCACTAAAAAAGACGTGTCATACAAAAGCCTGACACTAAGGCTAAACCTCATAGTCTTATAAAAAAAGTGCTAAAAAAGATAAGTAGAAAGCTCGTTAATTATTCTAGCTAAGAGATGTGTGCCCTTTTATAAAAGATAGGTCCGTCTAGTGTGGCCCTAGTGGCCATGGCAGGTACCCTATCAGGCAGGGTGTTTACAATATACGAAGTAAAAGACGCGTCTGCATTAATATTTCGGCGCCGGAGTTATTTTGATCCCTTTTCTTTTTTTAATGCGGGCCGACCCGTTCCGAAAAAGTTCAATAGATTGATATAAAATAAAAGTCTTAATACGCTTAAAAATCCTGCTAGATCCGTATAGAATAGTCTCACGTGATTAAATGATTAACTACTACTACTATAACCCTTAAATTACTTATCACCACTACAACTATTAGATTACTTATCACTACCACAACTATTGGATTACTCATCACCACCACAACTACTGGAATTTATCTTGGGTCACCGTTGGTGACAATAAAGAAGTGCAAAAAGATGGATAAAAAGCCCGTTAATTGTTCTAGCTAAGAAATGTGTGCCCTCTTATAAAAGATAGGTCCGCTTAGTGTGGCCTTAGTGGCCTTGGCAGGAAGCATGTCAAGCGGGGTGTTTACAGTAATAAGATTTAAGGAATGTAATACCCCGTTCCTTTTTTTCGATTAGATTCTTTACTTTAAGGTCTAGTTGCTCGATCGGCTATCGTTATTATCTGCTTGTAAGTAGATCTGGTTGGTTGTATTGCTGTGTATAGCTAGCGTAGCTTTATAGCGTTGATGATATTATTGTATTGCTGTGTATAGCTAGCGTGGCTTTATAGCGCTAAAAGGTTGTATACAAGTGACTTAGTTCGGAATCACTCTTCCGTAGTAAAAGGACAGGTATCGAAGTATAAGAAAGCGACTTGGTTCGGAATCGCCTTTCCGTAGTAAGTGAGGTAAAGCGGTGGTATCGAATTTAGATCGAAAATTTATAATCATTTTACTTTGGGAAAGAAGAAGATAAAAAAGATAATAATTGAAGCAGAACATAAAAAAAGATATCCGCAGGTCTTTAAAGTTGAGAAGCCTCTCTTTATCTAGAGAAAAGCAGGGCTGGAAACAGCCAACGTGCAACCCGATTTCCGAGCGATAATGGGTTAAGGAAATACTTAGATATTTGCACCCTATTAGGGACTCTGTATTATTATCTCGTACATCGGTACTTTCTGAGAGCCCGATTCAATGTAACTCTTTTGGTAAATCCGCAAAGAACTTTGGATAGTCATCCAGATGAGATTTGAGTGTTCCTGTGCCAAGAGTTCCAGTTGCATTAAAATACTATTATGGTTTCTCCAAGCTGTGACGAGCCTTTGGTTGGTATATCCAGGCTCTGTGATTGACTATGAATCGCTGTTGCCTAAATACTCTCTCGAAAAATGGTCCTGTTTCTCGGAAAACAATGGCGGCGAGTACGGAACTAGTGCTGCGCTAAGCGAACCTGGCCACAACATAAAACACCCTCTCTTGACTTGCAACTTCCTTCCTCTACACGTCCATACAACAAACATCTACTGGATTTCCTCAGCGCAGCATAATTTCGATATTTTCAAACAGAATCCACCTCCAAAGAATGTAGGTACAGTCGAACATCTCTTCCTTTACCGTCTTCCATCGTACTCTACTGCACTGGCGATGGACTTCGGCTTACACATTGGTAACGATCCGAGACAGCCACACCCCAAAATTCCAAAGGTGAGTTCATCTCTCGGAGCCTCTCTCCGAGTCAGTCTGGGCCACATTTTCTGACCTCCAATCTAGAATCACACCGTCCAAGTCTGTCGTCCCACATTCGAAGTGGTTCGCATTTACTGATCTCCAAAACAGAATGGCTACCCGTCAACCTACCGAGAAGGAAGCCTTCTTCTTTCTGACAATCTTGAACTGCATGACCAACAAGCCCGAAGTACGTAAATATTTGCCCCTCCAGCTCTGGATCTGAAGATGCGCCTCTGGTTGTCACCTTCCGGTTGGATACGTGTGCGCGACAACGTTACAGGCACTTTCACTTCTATTCCGGCCCCTGTCACAACTCGCATTCCGTTTCGTGCTATACATTTAGTCTGCTGACCTTCATTCAGGTCAACTGGGACCTGGTTGCTGAACGTGCCGGTTACTCCAACGCGAGCTGTGCCAAAGTCCGCTTCGGTCAAATCAAGAAGGCAATCGGCTACAAGAATGACGGAACCCACCCCATCACAACCCCCGTCAAGGACCGTGCCGCCGGCAAGAAGGTCAAGAACGAAATCGGCAGCGGTACCAACGTAACGCCTGGCAAGGTCACCAAGAAGCGAAGCCCCAAGAAGCCCAAGGCGGTCAAACTGGAGCGGGACCTCGAGGCTGAGGAGGGAGACAACGGAAACACCATGAAGGAGGAAGCTGGAGGAGCCACCGAATACAGCCAGGAGACCGCTGTCGAGTATGCCGATGAGAAATTCGAGGATCCGATTCATGAGCGTCTCTACCATGACTTCCAGGCCACCAGCCAGCACCAAGACGAGTTCCTCGATGCCGAGTCCTGATCTGCTACCGCATACAGTCTTCTGCATTCAAGGTCTTTAATCCTTCCTACTGGTACTTTCTCTGCAGCCCCCTGACTTGGTTACAGGTACGTCCGCTCGATTGGAAACTTGGCAGCACGACACACCTTCATGGGCACGAATCAATGGTGTTGCGGGGGTTGCATAATCGAGTTTCTTTTTCCGTACTACCTGGGTCTGGTTCCGACTCGAAGGTCGCATATGGAGGTGAGAGGTATTACCGCCGATAGCAGCAGCAGGTAATATTCTGCCAATAAATACGAAGCGGCACTCTGAATAAAAACACATTTGGAGACACTTTTCTGATATCTGACCGTGGCTCGGCGGCTCTTCATGGAGTCGGTCTTCTCAACTGGTACCAATTATCGTAATTTCCGATTCAATCATATGTGATTCGAAGATGTACAGGCGGTAGAGTTTGGGAAAAGCCCGTATCGACCTCCACCCACACGGTCTTTCCCTACCTATACATAGATACGAATCTCCTCGCTGGTTGTGAACCGTGAGTATGGCAAAAAGATTACCGTCCGCACCCTTTCTTTTGATTGCAAGCTGCACGAACATGCACAAAAAGAAAAGAAAAGAAAAGAAAAGAAAAAAGAGGTTTAGCCTCGGGATTTCGACTCGTATGGAATCACGTGTTATTTATTTACTTGCCTTCCAAAACAAAGATGGAACTAAATTTAAGCGAGGAGCCACCCACCAACCAGCATCCCCCATTTTACCTACCTTCGATAAACCATTATTCCAAGAAAAAACTATACAGACGTAAATTATGTATAATATCACTACATCAGGTCGGGGATTGGAAGCTGTCGGAGATCTTTGGCGTGGGTATTAATATAACATAACGTAACTGCCAACTCTTAAGCTAATACGGAAGGACGACCCTCAGGTCACAGCCCGCAATCGCATAGGTGAATAAATATGTACATAGATAATCTGGCGCTGCCCACTACCTCATACTCAATGGGTCATATTACTTTAGTCGCTTTTTTGTTTTTGTTTTTTCTTCTTTTGGGGGGAGAGGAGGACCTCGCATCTGCCTACTTCGAGTTCGTTCGGCTCATCCCAAGTCCGGAATGAAGATATATCTAGCTGGAAGAGAAGAACACCTGTTTTATGTTTGCCTGCCTGCTTACCTCCCTGTCTGCCTGCATCAAATCCACATTTAGGTCCGGTGACGGTGAGTCTGCTTGCTGCCCTGGCCCTTGGATATCGAGCACCCATGGGAGGGAGGAGGTATAAGTATGGTTGCTTCGTTCCTCCTTCTTAGTCTAGCTTTGGCCTGCGCCGTTAGCAACGGCCATTGATCAATTTGGGAGGAGCTTTGCTGGATGTCTTTTGCTGGCCTCCTATCATCTAATTATAGAAAGGACCAGGGCAAAAAGCGTATCAGATATCAAGTCACAGATTCAAATTGGAAGTTGTAGTCTTGGATAAAACGTGAGCATGTAGCAACAGGGTCGGTCTACTTTGTAAAGGTTATTTGAAGTCGCGGAATTTTCCTCTCGGATTTCTAATCTATACCAGATCAGATTGCGAAGCTCAAACAATCCAAAGGAGATAGGGGTTAAAAGTTCTGACGTTGTATTCAGCAAAAGAGGTAGTCAAAAGTATCAGCATCAATGCGCAGCATGATCTTTTTAGCAACATAAAATACAAGCTGAGCGTGCTCTCGTGAAAACCAAGTAGAAATATGTTTAAAGACGAACGTCAAAGAATCTACTGCACCCGTCTGGTGAATAAAATAGAAGTGTCGGCCATGTTCCGAATGCGGCTAGGCTGTAACGGTGGTTGGCTATGCATCGTCGCTTACATAAATTCCCTATCGGGAACATTCTTCTTGTGAACATCTATATCGATCTCCGACAGCACCGCACAACACCTTCTACCTCCCTTCAACATCAACATCAGCTGCAACTGCACATCTCATTACTGTATCTCGAACCAACCCTTATTAAGATCAAAACCCTCTTTCGAAAATCGCAAAAATGTCTGATAACGAGACCTCCGGCGATATTATGAGCATTAATGACTTCAAGTTCCTGGTCACTTGCCTCAAGAACACTACCGGTGGCTCGCTCGTCGTAAGTCAGATTCCGCGCGTATCTTAACCCTTAATCCTAATCCCAATCCCATTTCCATGAGTGATCTTATGTTGTCTAACTGTACATTCTCTGCAACTATAGGTCGACATCGAGAAGGTCGCCGAGGCCAGTGGCATGAAAAACCCTCGCTCCGCCCAGAACAAAATCGGCGCGCTCAGAAAGAAGTGGGGTATAAACATGATCACTCACAAGAGCAAAGATATCAAGGATGCCGCCGATAGCAACCACGACGCCGCCGCCGCTGCCGGTCCCTCGATCTCAAGAACCCCAGCTCGTAAGTTGATCATCCGGCCATAGCCTATTCTCTGCTCTCTAGAGTTGCCTTCCTCACTTACTCTGGATTTGCTCCTCCTCATGATCAGACTACCTACTCCTGATTCTTCTCCTGATTCAACCTCCAAACGGAAGACATCTTGCTGACACTTTCGAAATCTTCCAGCACCCAAGACGCCCAAGGGCAGAGTCACCAAGACCAAAGCCGCCGCGAAGAAGGCGCCCGCCAAGAAAACTCCCGCGGCGAAGGGCAAGACTACCGCCAGGGGCAAGAAGGCTGCTGTGGTCTCTCCCGTGAAGGCTACCAAGGTCGAGAAGGAAGACGAAGAGGAGATGGAAGATGCTCAGGAGAGCCAGTAAGTCATCACATCACACGGTCTTTCTCCTATCTACTAGCATTCCTTCCTTGCTTGCTTGCACCCATCTCGTCAACATAATTCATCCGCATGGAGAAAGAACCAAAGCTGATATATATCTACTTTCTTAGGCAAGAGGAGGAGGAAGGTGGCGAGAGCAGTACAGAGGAAGAAGAGTAGAGATTCCCCCACCCCTCCCCCCGCACACTCCACGCCTAAGGCTGTTCTGTTCTGGATTTCCATGAAGTAGTCATCTTCGGTTTCCAGTGCTCGTTTGGAGAGAGAGATTGGGTTCTCAGGTCTCGGGGGTCTTTCGGATTATGTGTTTCCTTAGGTTCTCCTGAAGGGTTTACCTGCCTATTTGATCTTGTTTCTTTTCCTTTCCTTTCTTGGATTGGTAGATAGATAGAGAGATCTTTTGCAATGGAAAGGAAAGCATCACGAAAAAGGAAAAAGAAAAACGTAGAGTTCGTCGACCTAGTCTGCCGTGCGTTTTGCACATAATAGCCCTTTGTTAACGTGGGTGACTCCTCTCCGTCAACCTGGAAATCGGAAGAAATGGATGTTCTAGAATTATCGCCCGTCCATTCCAATCTAGTCCTATGAGTAACTAACGCCTAAATCAACAATCCCCTTCCGTCTTTTCTTTATGCTTCATCGTAAAAGTTTGATGAAAAATCTCCAGGCTGCAATCCAGTAGTGCAATAGCCCCCCTTTCCCCTTCTTCCCTTCTGTCCAGTCAAAAGAAGCATATTCGCGCTTCTTCGACCTGTTTCCATCTCGACTACAACGCAACAAAACACAACACAATACAACACAACACATACAAATTGCGCGAACACGAACAGGAACCCGTCACGTCTTCCCTCTCTCGTCTCTTCCCATCTGGTCTTCGAGTCTTTCACAGAATTACTTGTTTCCCCGTCCGTTAACAGTAACCACTTTCTAAAGGTAAGCCGAAAACCGCTCTCTCCTCTCACGCTCTTCAAGATCGAATTAACCCTCGCCCGCGCGCAGAACACCACGACGACCACTACCACACACACATAACACACACACACACACACACACACACACACAAGATGCCTCCAAAGGCCACCACCGCCGGAGCTACCGTCGGCTCTACCGTCCTGAGCATGAAAGAGACCAAGATGTTAGCCTCCGTCATCCATCTCCTCGGCGACGTACCAGATGTAAGCACCTAATCATGCGATCCGGAGTCTCTTTTTGCATCGTCGCCTTGTCACCGATGTTGCGTTACGTACGTCTCTGCAGCAATGCTAACCAGACTGTGAATTCCTATAGATCGATTTCGGCGCTCTGGCTATTATGTGCGGCTACCAGCACAGCAAGAACGCTCGAACTAAGTTAGCATTCATACACCTCTCTCTTTCTCTCTCTCTCTCCCTCTCTCATCCGAACAGCTTCAAGATAGCCCATCACTAACACACCACAGATGCAAAGCCCTCCTCGCCAAAATCAAGTCCCTCGATCCCCCCTCTGCTGCCACCGACGGCAAGCACCCCAACCCCAGCCCCAACCCCCAAACCGAAGGCGAGGTTTCCGACGGCGAAGAAGAAGACCTCGTCATGGAATCCATCGAAAAAGACGACGAGCCTGCCATCAAGAAGAAGAAGAAGGGCGCAGCCGCCAAACCAGCCGCCGCCAAGCCAGCAGCAGCAGCAGCAGCCGCCAACCAGCAAGCCCCTCGCAAGATCGCACCTCTGAAGAAGAAGAAGGAGGAGGAGGAGGAGGAGGAAAAGGCCTCCTCGCCTCCCCCCTCCACCACCCCGAAGAAAGTAGGCAAGAAAGCAGGAGGAGGAGGAGGAGGTCCCGCTACTGCTGCTGCTAGAGGTACTGCTAAAGGTACTCCTCCCTCGAAGAAGAAGAAGCCTATGAAGAGATCACTTCCTGGAGACGACGACGACGACGACGATCATGCCAACGACGCCGCCGCCGCCGACAAAAACGTGAAAGATCAACAACCCATCAGCCTCAGCGACGCCTCCCGAGCAGGAATATAGCCAGGCAATGCCCCCACCAAGAAAAGATAGATGGTAAAGTCCCTCCCTCCCTACCTACCCATCTTATTTTCTTATTTTCCCGTCTCATACATTCTCCGATTCTCTCATCCAACCACCTATTCTCTTCCCCTTCCTTCAAAATTCCTCTCTCTCTAAAAATCTCTCTCTCTCTCTACCTTCATCAACACCACAAACTACCCGACCGGACCGGACCTGACCTTACTGACCTCGCTCACAGGCCACAACACCAAACGTGCAGATTGATGACCCAGCTAGATCCGCCCCCCGGTCCTCCCATCTCCAGCCCAGCACCGCCCATTTCCAAGTCTGGTCCGCTCCGGTCCGCTCTCTTACGATGGCAGCCCCTGCTGAAGATAATCGGCTCGAGGCCTTTTCTTCTTCTTCTTCTTCTTCTTCTTCTTCTTCTTCTTCTTCTTCTTCTTCTTCTTCTTTTCGGGACACGTTATTGAGGTGAGGTGTGGTTGGTTGGGTGGACTTTCCTTTACTTTACCCGGTAGGGGGGGTGGGGGGAGGGGGGATATTATTTGCATAATGCATAAGGGGTCCGTCCTCCTGGCGGTTGGTTGGTTGGTCGGTTGGGTCTTTCATTTCACATAAATGATGGAGCACATTTTCTCTAGACAGTCACTCAGTCCCTATTTGTGGCGGTCGCTAGGCTAGGTAGGTGGGTGGATGGAATCGTTCGGCATCTTTGCTACTCAGTACTGATCAAGGCCTCTCTTTCATGTATTTCAGCCAGGCTTTCTTTTGCAGGGTTTTTTTTTTTTTTTTTTTTCTTCTTCCCCGAGGATAAAGAACGGCGGGTACCTATGCCGTGGCTACGGAGGCAGCTTTACGTTGAGGTTCCGCGGATTTACTTCGTCTCTTTGTCCTCAAGGCGCCTTGCTGCTGCCCCGTTGGTAACGCAGGTATCCGTGAAATTCTCCCCGTTCCGCGCTTCTCTCCATAAATCGTGACCAAACCCTTGAAATCAAATATAGCTTTTTCTTCCAAAGCATTCTTTCAAGCATCTAGAGGCAGCAAGCTGAATGAATGCTTGCGTCTTGCAAATTTGCTTGAGCATAAAGCCAGTAGACGGCCAGCTGCCCAACATCTGCATCAAGACCTTGGATGACAAGACGGTAGTACTCTCCTCTATCCAGTCGTACAGTCTTTAATCTTTAAAATAGAGACATCATCTCTCTTCTGTCTCCATCTCATCCTGTCACTGTCACCTCTGCCTCCGACTTAAATCATCTCTGCCGTAATTTCCACTACCATCTCCAACGAGAGGCTCCAGATTTCTTCCCGGCTCTTTCCTCAAGCATCGATGGCTCCGGCTTCCAACGAAGAGCAGTTTAAATTCCTCATTAGCTGTATCCGCTACAGCAACAATGGCAAAGTAGGATGATGATGATGATGACCTTCCTTCCTAGACCCCCCCCCCCTCCTCCTTGCCCCCTCCCCTCAGGATATAACTGACCGATCTCGCCAGGTAGACTTCGGCCAGGTTGCGAAAGAATGCAAGATTGTCAGCAAAGGAGCCGCGTGAGTCCTTCCTTTCCCTAAGAAGGTCCAGGAATGCAGAGTCTAAAGGGCACATCACCTGCAGAGCAAAGCGATACGAGCGCATGATGCGATCCCACGGCATTGCTCCCAACGCGGCCACTATCAAGCCTGCCCCCCGCAACCTCAAATCTGAGCGGCAGCAATCCCTCCCTTCCTCTTCGTCCCCATCCGCGGCCAAGAAGCGCAAGACGGAAGGATATCTGGACGAGAATACCACCGCCGACGATGATGAGGGCTTTGGCATGGTCAAGCCCGAGCCCGCGGTCATGATCAAAGAGCAATTCGTCGTCAAGGAGGAAGAGACACATCGGCAGCAGCCAGGCCAGCTCAGTCTCGGCGACGCCGCGAACCTGATGCAGTATTACGATACGCCTACCCGATACAGTGGTGGTGACAGTGGTGGCGGCGATGGTAGTGGTAGTGTTAGTGGTCATGGTAATGGCCATGGGCTGGGGATGGATGATGGCTACACCGGGGAGTATACAGCTTCCCCGAGCTACGGTATGAGTTCGTCCCCGTATGGGCTGGCCTCCCACACCCACTCGCATTCTCAGCCGCCACCGCAGGCATACGACTTCGCCTCTCGCTCGCCCTACGGCAGTCCGGAGATGGGCGCCGGCATGGGTGGAATGCATTTGGGGGAGCCGCAGAAGGCTCCGTATCAGTCGCTGATGCAGTATTCCTCGGAAGATCAGGGAGGAGGAGGGGCAGGAGGAGGAGGAGGAGGACGGCGACAGGGTCAATCGGACAGCCCGGTGATTGTCGAGTGAAGTGCGTCTGTTGGCGACTGGGATTGAGGTTGGGATTTGAATGGATGAGATGGACGAGATGGATGAGATGGATGATATGGACGAGATGGATGAGATGGGAATGATGGATGAGAATGATGAAGGAAATGACCGGACCCTTATACTTTGCTCGTGGCAGTTCGTTCCTTCTCTGGGCTGTTGCGCGCCCCTTCTGCATTTGGCCACCGACAGCCCTCACGGGTCACGGGTGGTGGTGATCTCGTGGAGGCCATCGGCGCCCTCTGACTGCCCATTGCGGAAGGAGCCCCTATACATGGTAGTTATCTGAATTGGAAATTGGGATTTGGAGTTCATGAGAATTCCTCAATCTCAGGATCCAAACTTTCAGGACAGCAGCACGTGATCGCCGACTTCATCGGCTCGTTCTACTTGGCAGAAAAGCACGAAGATAGAGTAAACATCCCCAAAGCATTGCCCACGCCCATTCCCACGCCTACGCCAGTGCTGGTATCGCTTGCGATCCTTTGGTGAGCAATTCAGGATATCCGGGAAAGGGATGCTGACAGAGGCTACAGGCATATAGCCTTGCGCCTCCGGGCTCCCTATTGCGTGCGGCTCTTGGGTATGGCTTCCAGCTTGCATTCAGCCCGATCTGGAGACGGTTTCCTTCCTGACTGATTGACTGATTGACTGATTGACTGACTGATATATCATGCCTAGCCTTTCAAATTCTAATCGACAAGACACATGCTCCGTGTTTTCCAAAGTTGGTATAGAAGAAGGACATCGTGGTACATTATACCTGTACGCAAGCAGGCCTTGTCTGAAGAAGAATGGAAGCCGGAGGCTACTAACAGGGCGCCTGGCAGCGGAATTCCAAATGCCGAACCTCCCCCCACACCCACCATACTCCGAAACGTACGTCCTCCCAAAAACGAAGTACGGAATTCCTGTGACGGCGGACCAGTTCGTGAGTACCGATTGTGGAATCTGCCACACTGTGCCTTTCGCCCTTGCAAGGAATACTCTGAACGTATCTGCAAGAGCCTACACATCCACTGACACCTCCTGCTCTGACAGACGAACAATGACTTCGACCACCGTGATTTAGATCCCGATGGCACTCAAGGCGAATGGTGGAAGAAGGTTTGGCAGGACGAGAAAGACAAGCAGCGCGCCTTGGCGCAGCGCGGAGACGCCCACCAGGAAGATCACTCGGTCGATAAGTATCAGCAGTACCGTCCAACGAACGAAGAGCAGCGCAAGGATTTTGAGGCTTGGTCAGCCGAAGCAGAGGAGCGCGACAAGAAGAAGGGGATCGTTAAAAGACCGGAGGACGCTGTCGTTGTGGCCCGGGAATCCAAGGTCAACACTGGAGTTACCTTACAGGAGTTTCTGACACAGGACCAAACTGGGCTACAAGGGCCATCTGCAGCTGCGGGAGATGGCTCCAGAGTAGAGAAGAAGAAAAGGTTCACTTTGGAACGGTGGCTGAAGAAGCTTCGATAGCATTGGCGTTGGTCGTTTTCTATTTGGTCTGCATACCCTATGGGAGGGGACATGAACATAGCCCATGCGAGGATATAAACATACCCTATGCGAAGACGTAAATATATACAATGCACCGCTCGCTTCCTCGTTGGCCCAATAGACTGATTATTACTTACTTGCGTGGATGTCTCTGCTGTAGCTGAATACCATTCGAGCGTGCAATCCCTTCCATAATTCATCTCCCCGAGTGATATACGTGGAATACTCTTGCTCTTGCTCTTGCTCTAGGCCGCAAGACTGTCCCGAATAGGAAATCTCCTCTTCCCTTCTGAGTATGTCTAGGCAGCCGCACCAATAAGCTTGATCCACTTAGTTCAGCAGAAAGCGAGAGATCCCCCCGGTGAATTCACTGATTTCCTAAAGCAGCGAAATGGTGGTTGTCATTGAAGTGCCCAATTAGGCGCTAGTCCCGAAAAGTAATTCAGGGTGACTTATAAACTTCCTCTCCGCGAGAACTTCCTACAACGCACAACAACCTCCACTTCCTCTCTCACACCCAACCACCATCACAACTTCTCAATTCCCATCACCCCAAGCATCTAGAGTCCCTCTGGCGCTGCACTTCCATCAACAGGTAAGCACTCCCTCCTCCCTTATCACTCCCCCATTAGCGCTGCATGAATTTGAGGCTTCGGTCTGCGCGCCGACTGCTAGTGCGGTCCTTCCTATCGCGCTTCGCTTGGTTGTTCAATCAGCGACGCAGCACGGGGAGCATCTCTTCAATGATTCTTTTCCCGTCCGAAGTCATCTTAGTCCTCAGCGCGTCGATCTGTCTGAAGAGATCGACTGCTGCGGCTATCGCCGTCCGAGACCTGTCGTCCTCCTCCGAGTCTGGCGTGCTTGCCCCGATCGATCTGCTGATAGCTTCCAGACAACATCAACTCCGTCGCTTTGACGTTGCCGCGAGTCTTCAAGCTAAACTTCCCAGACTCTCCTGCCTCTTAGGAGCAGTGATCACAATCACAACCATAAGGTACGTCGCGCGGCCTTCCTAGCCCATTGAGCCCCCCCCCATCCTCCCCCCCCCCATCCCCCCTTCCCCCTTCCCCTCCTTCCCCCCTTCCCCCTCTTCCCCCCTTCCTACCCCCTTCAATCTCACCCATCATTCACTGTCCACTCCCTATTGCGCTTTCATCAATTCTTTTTCAAGATTGTGTCTCTGCAGAGAAATGCGCGAGTAGCAGCTCTGAGAAGACATCTCTTCGCCGCCCTTTCTTATCCTGGACAAAGAGGGGCCACGTGAGGCGCGAGGGACAAATTCGCACCACAGCTAACACTTCAAAGAACAGATCGTACAGGCTAAGATGCCTCCCCACACTCCAACCAAGGATGGTCTTCCGTCTGACAATACCATCTCGCGTCCATGTGCGCCGAGCTTGGCGCCCCCTGATTATACTTCGATGACCACACCCAAGAAGGGCAATGCAAAGGTCTCGCCAGATAAGGTTACGAAATCTGCCAGTAAGAACACCACTTTCAGATTTCCATGGATGAAAAAGAAGAACTCGAAAGGCCTTCCGTTCGATGGCGTCGCTACAAAACACGAGGGTGCGGACCTGGCTGACTCGTCCCAAGTTAAGCGCGTCAGGGCCAAGAAGGGACCTCCACACTCCAAGTCCTCTCCGGTCGGTTTGAAGACGAGTGGCTATGGCGAAGCTGGTAACGGAGACCCTTTCACTGAACAATATACCATGGCCCCGATAACCCCTGTCCAAGCAACAGAGCACAGCGACTCCGAGGGAGAGGAGATGGGCACTGAGCCAGGCCAACCTCCGGTTTGGATGGATCAAAACGGCCTGATTAGTGATTGGGAGGTTCCTCGGGCCCAGAACACCGTGGAGAAGACTAGGAAGAAGCAGAAGGCAGTCCCCGGCGTAAAGGATCCAAATGGTCGTGTGGTTGGTCGCGGCTTGGTTTTGTGGCACCGTAAGTCCCCCATCATCTATCTTTCTCTCTTCTTGAATGCCAAACAATGCCGAAGCTAACGTCTTTCGAAATCAAGGCCCGAGAATGATGGAAAAGCTGATGCTCTGCGTCCAGTATGAATGCCACAAGGCTGGTATTCGGATCCCATGGGATGAGGCCGTGCATAGATTGAACCCGGGCTCAAGCGGCCCCAGCGCCGTGCAGCATTTGAACAAGCTGCGAGACACGTTGGTGGCCGAGGGTCACCTCATCCCACCTGCTTTGGGAAAGGTGACCGAAGCCGATCCGGCCTGGCTTCGCGGATACGCCAGAGATCATACAAAGCAGACTCCCACGGCCACTCGCTCAGTGCCTTGGAACGAAGCCTTGGAGCACCCGAAGGTGAACCTGGTTATCCCAGGTATCATCAAGGGCTCAGGTAACTACCGTGCCGTCCCAAAGGAGCAGAGAGTTCAACTTCCACCAAAGGAGGAGATTGACCCAGCCATCGGCCATAGAGTAAGAATACCAGCTGATCTGGTAGAGGAGGCCAAGGCCGCGCGGGTTGCGAGAGGTTCACGTAGAAAGCGTGGAACTCGGGCTCCTCGCCCCAAACAAGATGATGTGTTGGATGGTGAGGCAGAACCAGCTGAGCTCGGTCCTGATGATGAGTATAAACCAAACAAGAAGAAGGGTGGCCGCGGAAAAGCTCGGCAAACATCTCGCGGCAAAGCCGGTCCCCCTCCTCCCATCCTCAAGATCCCTGTGCCACCAGAGTATACGGAGAGAGTCGCTGCAGATGGTTCTGGAAACGAGGGCAGTCACGGTCTGGCGGATCTCGGAGGTGCTCATCCCGACCAATACCTGGTGCGGAATGGCACCCAGTATCTTAAAGACTTGATGGAGGAGATATCTGCCGATGTCAACATCGTCACAACGCTGAGTGAGAAAGACTTTAGGGCTGTGCTCATATATGGCGCCACCATGGGCTACGGAGATGATACTCTCCAGGAGTTCATTGATCGTCGCCTCCAGGGCGTTCAAGAGGATGTCATGAGTAGTGACGAAGGTTCCTTCTTGACCGCTGGTGGCATGAACGTTGGTCAAGAAGAGCAGATGTCGGGCACCGGATATGGCGAGGAGCAGATTTCGAGCACCGGATATGGCGAGGAGCAGATGTCGAGCACTGGATATGGCGAGGAGCAGATGTCGGGCACTGGATATGGCGAGGAGCAGATGTCGGGCACTGGATATGGCGAGGAGCAGATGTCGAGCACTGGATATGGCGAGCAGCAGATTTCGGGCACAGGATATGGCGAGGAGCAGCAGCAAGATAGAAATCCCCTGCTCACATTCGGAGTGAGTCCTTTCTGCTAACACCCACCCGGGGCTTGAGCTGACATCGGTTTCTTAGCTTTTTGCCAATCATGGTAGCCATTCAGACGGCCCACTGCCCCCCATCAGCAGCTTTGCACATACGTACAACCCGAGCCAGGACTTCACTTCCGGAGTGGTTCATGATTACTCGATGTTCAATGGCGGTCCTTCGGCGCAGGATTACCATAATCAAGAACCACAAGTGCCCGAGCCCCGCCACCAATTCTTGAATGGAGGCTCCATCTTCGAGGACCCGCCGGTCGACCAACAGCATGCCGCTGGATGGGCCCCAGAGTTTGACCAGTACGGCGACCACATGTTCTCTTTGGATCCCAACGAGGACGAGAATCTGCGACCTGAGTTTGAGCCATATGAAGAGCCAGCCTCCGTGTCGCCGGTAGACAACTCTTACCGCCACCAATTCTGAGTTCACACCTCGACGTCCCGGCAGTTGCGATCTGCCAGTAACCAAAACGCCTCCTCTTGGCGCTTTGCCATAGGAATGTCTTCCTCGTCCACTTCTTGCTTGTATTACCACCATCTTTCTGACTCTCCGGGGTCCCTGGCTCCTCCTCGCTCACTTCAACCTCATCGCTACTTTCCGACCGAGATGGAGACGAACCTTTTCTCTTCTTCTTCTTTTTTCGATACCAGGTCTTGCGCGCATGTTGGATGATAATGAGGGTTGGAGACTTGCATTCGACCATCTTCACTTCTTCTGCCCCAATTTTTTTTACTTTCTTGTTCTTCTTCTTCAAATACCGAGGTCATAACTGAGATCTCTCTCCTACCAACCAGGGAGAGTACGTATGATGGCCGGCGGTAGCCATCAACTCTGCGGATTTTGCGACCTTTTGATATTCCCGGCTTCTCCTCAGTTGATGGATGGATGTCCTATCGGGGTATGGTGGGCTCTCGATTTCCCGGGCGGTTTGTCATTTTCCTCTCGATGCATACGGTAGATGCATGCATGGATGGACGGCGTGGTGCATCGTCAAGAAAGATCCCCGTCGCTAAGGAGAGAAGAGAGAAAACGGTCTATGGGAGGATACAAATCTGGCTTTGGGCGAGAGTTCCTTTTTTTCCCCCCTTTCCTCCCTTCTTTTTTTGTAGGTGGCTGCTGGGCTGACCTCAGTCACCGAACAGATCAGATAGATAGGTTAGATAGGCATTGTAATTTTAAAGTTGAATTTTCCCTACTAGAATTCCGCGATCCTCGCTCGCTGCGTGAGTGACTTGACTGGTGACTGGTGACCTTTTGGGTTCTACCACGGTACAGGCCTAAGTATTACCCCTCGAGGGCGCCTCAAAAGTTTAGTTTCCACTTTAAACCCCCTGGTTACCCTACCCTCGAGGGGTAATACTTACGCCTGGGACGTAGTAAGTCGTAAATGTCCGTCTCCCTGTGCTGTGTTGTGTTTTGTAGCCAGTAGCGATCCTTGGGTGAGGGAGTGAGGGAGTGGCAGACAAGCAGGCAGGTTATGTCAAGACAAGATGTTGGCTGTCCTTGTCCTCGTCCTCGTCCTTGTCCTTGTCCTCCCTTCGGTTTTCCAGAAATGAACACCCACCCAAAAAAAGGGCGGCATTGTGGAATCCCGCCAATATATAGCTGCAAATACGAGGCAGAGGCAAAGGCAAAGGCAAATTGCCATCACCTGCGAGCGGGATTTGTCTGTCTGATACCATCATCACTTTTGCCGCAGCCGATGATTCGGACTCGGACTCGCACTCGGACTCGGATTCGGATTCGGATTCGGATTCAGAGAGGCGGAGAACATTTCAACTGGTCTCTGAATAAGGTGGCACCCCGAATACCGAAGTGCGGATCCGAGAAGAGAAGACGGACAGGTGGTCGGTCATCGGTCGTCGGAGAGGCGATTGATTGACTGTTCACCGCTGGCTCATTCTTATTTGTTTTCTCGACGACGGATTAGCTCGAGGATGCTACATGGCTCGATCGATCGTCTCGGTCTCGTTCCCTCGAGAAATGACTCGTCTGCAAGACTCTCTCGACCCGAGAGAATGTGGCAGAGGTTTGTGCTGACCAGCATTAATGCGAAAGTGAGAGACATGCGTTGTCTTTCTATTCGGTGGGAATTGATGAAGGGAGGAGTTGGCAGCCAATGGGTTAAAGCAGTTCGACACCTGTTCCATTTCAAGGTATTCGGGGTGTTTTTTTTTTTTCGTAGTTTGAAATGAGAAGATGACTTGGGATGTATGTTCTGGTTGGCAAAATTGACTTTCGATGGGGTAAGATATGCTTTGCATCGCTTAACTCAGAGACAGAAGAATCCTCCAAGAAGAAGAGGAGAGAGTGGGTGTGTCCACGGTACTCGAAAGAGAGGGTGAAGCTTCTGTGGTCGCTCATTTCTTCTGGCTTGCAAGATTCCTCTCAAGACATAGTTGACAAGGTGAAGAAGGATCCATGTTGCGATGCGATTTCCTTCAAGATGAAGTGGGTGAGTGGTACGGACTCTGATAAGTGACGGTTACTCCCTGTCACTTTACCCAGAAGCGTCGGTGAAGACGCCAGTGAAGGGCTCGTGTAATCTTCGACGTGTTTCGCGTGTAGGAGAGTGCTCGCAGTTATGTCCTGCTGGTGCTGCTTTTGCGCGGGACAGATGAATCGAGTGCTCGTGGAGAGCCAGGACTGTTGCTTCCCGTCGGGCTGGCAAGTTATAATAGCAGACATGCTCTTCCACCAACTGACTGATGGCGGAGGACAGAATCAAAGATGATGGCACAAGTAAGTAAGTGTGTGATTCATTCTGCTTGAACGAATTCATCTGGTACGAGGCATCGGCGGTCGTGAAGCATAAGCCTAAGGGCTCGGTAGGATACGAAGAGGTATTGTATGGGCCACTGGACTTTGTGTGCATTCTTTTCTTCACACGGGATCAGCGATCGAAGCGTTAACTTAGTGTGGTTCTTAACATACCTTGCGAAATTGGGCTTTACTGATGGCCAAACCAAGCCCACGGGAAGGCTTGACGATCAGGTAAGGAAGGCAGCTTGGTTGGGTTTGCACCTCATGATGTTTTGGCGTTTGAGAGAAGTCAGATAATAGGTCTATACAGCATTGGAAACTGCCTGAAGTATTCATCCCACTGTTGCGATGACCGTAATCAAGCCACGTACTCGCTTAGCCAGAGTGGAATCAATGATCAAGGGCATCAAATAAAGCCGGTAAAAACCCCTGGCAAGATGCGCCCAATAGAGATTGTGCACGCAACTAGTCTCGGCTGCAGTTGATAGGCACCATGATAGAAGGAAGTTGCTCGCTGCATTGGGAAATAACTCTCATTAGCGAATGATCTGTAAGTCAAGCGAAGCTGAGATTTTCCTACCGCCATCCGCATTGGATTCAAGCCTCTCGACTCTCCACCTCTGATGCCCGTATTTATGACCGGCGCCTTGAGAAGGCTTTGCAGAATGATGAAGCTCTATCTTATTGTATATGGAGATATATAGACTGTGACTGTCAATCTTCCTTCGATTGTTTTGGCGGGATCAAGAAGGGATTTGACTTTCGGTCTCGTGTCTGGCAACTAAATTTAAAATTCAGTAAGCATGAATATCAGTATGAATGTGACTAGACAGAGCGATACAATACTACTCACAGTTTTGATAGGGTAATTTCTCAGCGCTTTCACGCCTCGCTTGCGCAGCCAACGTGTAGACAGCCACATCGTTAGTACACACCCGCGGTATAGAGAAAGCGGAGAATGTAGTGAGTTAGAGGGGAAAGCAGTGTTGGTTTGCCAGTAGCAAATTCTGGTATTGAAGTTACTGCGTTGTTCCAGTTCTGCAGCTCGGAAACTTGTACCGGAAGGCTATCCACAACGCTGTAATCCTGTGATCGTCGTGCTCGTCAATGAACTCTTGGATTAGGTGCTTCGCCTTCTTTTCGCTCTTGAGCTTGGCGTAGATAGTGTTATCGTCCTTCGGACCTGATCTATTGTTGCTCTTGTCACCTTTCTGCGGCTCCGCTCCCTCAGCTTTGGATCCGGATGTAGCTTGTTCAGTTGTCAGATTCGATAACCTTTCCAAGAGCAGGTGGGATCAGGTGGCCTTCGGCAATCAAGGTATGTTGTGCAAAAGCAGACCTGCTATGCACATTGCAGTAACCAGTATTATAACCCTACACCGCACGACAAAGTATCTCTCAGTTTGTTTGATTGCTGAACGAGGCTGGGGCCGCTTGAACCTGGGTTTAGTCGATGTACCACCTTGTCCCATGGGATGCGAATGCCAGCCTGATGGCACTGATATCGAGAGCTGTTTGCCTAGGAGTTGGGGTGCCGAACTGATTTGTCTTCATCGAACAAGATTGTCCGCGGCCACTCTTCTTAGTAGTAGTAGTAGTATTGATTTGCGTTTAGCGGGTTAACAGCAGAGCAAGCGCTTCTCGCCTGGCCACTCTTCTTCTTGCTTGGGTTGTACTCATCTTCAGAAGCGAGCTGAGCTCGGCTGGGTCTGCGTGACCATCAACATTATGTTTGAAGAGGGGAGTTCGAGTTCCACGCTTTTTCCATGAACCTCTATTATCTTGTTTGAGGCTTCGGGCAACCGAGGTATCTCGCAGTTTGTCCAACTGCTGAACGGCGCTAGGGCCGCTTGAACCCGGGTTCAATCTGTGTACGGCCTTATCCCATGGGATCCGAATACCAGCCTTGTGGCATTCATATTGAACGCAAAGCATAATAGCCTTATCCCAGTAGTTATCTGAGCCCTTGATGATTCCTAGAATAACCAGGTTCACCTTCGGGTGCTCTAGGGTTTCGTTTTAAGATGAATTCGTTCCAAGGCACTGAACGAGTGGCCGTGGGAGTCTGCTTTGTATGATCTCTGGCGTATCCGCGAAGCCAGGCCGGATCAGCTTCGGTCACCTTTCCCAAAGCAGGTGGGATAAGGTGACCCTCGGCCACCAACGTGTCCTGCAGCTTATCTAAATGCTGCACGGCGCTGGGGCCGCTCGAGCCTGGGTCGAGTATGGTTTTGGCGGACCAGTCGTACTGTTCATACGTGATTATAGCGAATGTTTTCGTCTGCGTACACTAACTGAGTAGGTATGTAGCTGTCGCCCAAATCTTCGGACGAACTAGCTTATCTGTGATTAACGGCTTTCCGAATCATCATCAAGCAAATGCTAAGCCGTAGCCTTCAATTCATGAGGGTTCAATTCGCCACGACGGTGATTGGTGAGAAGTAATTGACGTTGGTGGAGGCAGGAGGCACCTTAAAGAGAAAACATGTCAGCCAGAAGTAACGGGAAGAATTTGTGAAGACATTGTTACATACCTTAATCGACTGCGAATAGATCTGCGGTAGCCGAGACGGCTCCAACGAAGAAGTCAAACAAAATTCGAGTTGAATTTAGTTTCTGGCAGGACTATTATCCATCCCTTCCGTCCTTGGACCACCAGCAATCTTTGAAATTCCCAAAATCCGTTGCTCTTCTGGTCCATCGTGGCTATTGCGGCGCATCCATACACCTCTGAACCTGGCTCGTTGAAAGCATCTCCAGAAATTGCGAGCTTTCACATAGCACCCTGCCCAGTTTGTCAGATCTGCCCCCGCTCTAGTATTAGTACATACCTTTAGATCATTTTGAGATGACCTTGTGTATAAAAGAGAGATTGGCGCCGTCCTGTCGAGAATTTGGGTTCGTTGCAGAGGCTCAGTCGGCGTTCTGCGAATTGTCGGCTCTCAACCAGGCAGCAGTGAAAACTGTTTAATGTATCTTCTCTCCAGCGTTGGTAGATATTGTTACGTCGTATTGAACCTCTTCTGATGCGCGCAGAATCTGTCAGTATCACTCGGTTGAGAGGTCGGGGGCATCGATCGCGTCGTGCCCCTGAAGCCGAACATCTTGGGAGGAATTGACATACCAGACACGCAACATGATCAAGGATGGGAGCCAAGAGTCGGCGCAAGCTGGTCTGATAGTCTAGAAGTCAGTAGAGATGCAACTGCGGTCGCCAATCGCAGGTGTCGATGGATTGCGCCTCCGGGTAGGAGTTGAGTTCTCGAAGCGCCTTAGGCTATCTCGAGCTGAGGGTTGGCTTACCAAGGGATCTGACGCCCTGAACATCAACCAGGAGCACAAGATAAATTAGAAGACTGAGTATACGCTTGCGTTGGGGGCGGCGGCTCTGAGGTGGGTGAAAGGGTGGGAGAGGGAGAGATTCTTGTGTTGGAGACTTAGCAGGATGAGAAAGCGACATTGTGGAGCGAGCCAAGACCATCCTGGGCAAGCCCCACATCTGAATTCGACTGTAGGTCAAATTCCTTGCCTCTGGACATTAAATGGGCTCAGGAGCCTAGTATAGGCATTGGTGGACTTCAAGTGTCTGGTTGCCTATGATACTTGGGCTACTCTTGCAAGTAAAAGGTTTGATAAGTTTGCCGAAAGTTCTTATAGGATATCCTACAATAGATTACCGAGCATATATATACTTGTACGCTCTAGAAGACAGTTCATGTCTGTAGATAGGAAAGAATATCGCAGATCACAGTCTTCAGAAGTTCAGGAAGACTTTAAAGCAATCTGACGACCTGGATTACAATCCTATCATACAGCTTCACAAATGAAGTCGGCAAACAGCATAGCTAGAATGATATAAATATTCAGAAGAACATTTGAAACCTGGTGTTTGGGTAAACGCAGTGCGTAGCTTTTTGTAAGAAATGATTTTGCTTGTTTTTCTTCCTTAAAGAGACTGGGCTGTCATATCTGCACTGATACTTGAAAATACCGCTAGCTAAAAAGAAAAATCTAACACCAAGAACGTACGAAAATTTCAAGACACCATGTGTATTTAATCTCAAAGTAGTACAGAACAGTGTCGTCAAAAAGCTAGTTAATAAAAGTAAATGCAATGGGTATATTGGGATGAAAAATGCATTTATAATCTTAAAGGAAGTCGAATAAGAAATCATTATGCAAATAAATGGAGTTCTGCAGCATTAACAAGAACAGCTAAGCAGACGTAAAACTGTTGACTGACTTACATGTCTCTGTATATCTTGATATTACACAGTCGTCTATTCTCGCTTCGACCCCTTTTTTTTTCTTTTTCCTTTGACAGCTAGATAGGTGTCTGGCACAGGTTAGCCCAGGTATAGCATCCCAAAATTTATGCTAGGCAATTGATAGAAGATGAAGCCGAAGGATGAATAGGATATCATTCGGACTGCTTAGAGCTGGTATTATGCTTATATCTTTTTGTCCCAACCAGTCCTTGATCGATATAGATAACGTCCTGACGTGAAGACATAGGTCCTGTACACAAGGAACATCCTAAAGTATAAGAGGAACATGATTTGAAACAGATGCAAGGTAATAAAGAATCCATGAATTTTTCTTAGTTGTGATAGGAATATAGGAAAGAGTCTCTGGACTGCAGTGGTAGTGTCTGCTTTGAAGTTTGGATAAAAACTACTCCGTGCGAGCCGCTGATCGGAGCTGCGGCCAATATTTAATCCGAGATCACAGGATAAGCCACCTCGAGCTTAAAAAGTCTCCATATTTATTTTCTCTTCCAGAAGGCTCTAAGTAATTTCTACTTCCATCTCCATCACCCAACACCACAAATCTCCGTCCTAACTCGATTCCCTTGCTCTTCTTTTACTCCATTCTCTTGCCTACCCATCACTCTTTAATATCACAATTCCAGCATGCAACGAGCAGTGACTTCTAGGGCCTCGGTCCTCGGACGCTCGTCCTCGAAGCTCCGTCCTGCTGCTTCTGCTGGCTTCAATGCCCAGCAATTGCGATTCGCGCACAAGGTACGTTATGATGGGATCTGCGGAGGGACTGGCGAGGCTTAGCAGACTCGTGGTTTCCGAAATTGAAGCTAATTAGAGTGGCATGATCAGGAACTCAAGTTCGGTGTCGAGGCTCGGGCATCTCTCTTGGCCGGTGTTGAAACTTTGGCAAAAGCTGTGGCGACCACACTGGGACCTAAGGGACGAAATGTATTGATCGAGTCGAGTTATGGATCTCCCAAGATCACAAAAGGTCAGTAAACAATTCCCTAGCTGATATCGACATGGCTGGCTGACGAGAATCCTGCAGATGGTGTTACTGTTGCCCGCGCCATTACCCTGAAAGACAAGTTTGAGAACCTCGGAGCCCGCCTTATCCAAGATGTTGCATCCAAGACGAACGAGACTGCAGGCGATGGAACTACAACCGCCACAGTGCTGGCACGCGCCATCTTCTCCGAGACAGTTAAGAATGTCGCCGCAGGATGCAACCCAATGGATCTCCGACGCGGTACCCAAGCAGCTGTCGAGGCAGTCGTTGAATTTCTCCAGAAGAACAAGCGTGATATCACTACCAGCGAAGAGATTCAACAAGTTGCCACCATCAGTGCCAACGGAGATATCCATGTTGGAAAGCTGATCGCCAACGCGATGGAGAAGGTCGGAAAGGAGGGCGTCATAACCGTCAAGGAGGGAAAGACTATGGAGGACGAGCTAGAGGTTACCGAGGGTATGCGATTTGACCGCGGCTTTGTCTCGCCATACTTCATCACCGACACAAAGTCACAAAAGGTTGAGTTCGAGAAGCCATTGATCCTCCTTTCTGAGAAGAAGATTTCTGCCGTCCAAGACATCATCCCTGCTCTCGAGGCCTCCACCCAACTCCGTAGACCATTGGTCATCATTGCCGAGGACATCGATGGCGAGGCACTCGCAGTCTGCATCTTGAACAAGCTCCGTGGTCAACTCCAGGTCGTTGCCGTCAAGGCTCCTGGCTTCGGTGATAACCGCAAGTCCATCCTGGGTGACCTCGGTATTCTCACCAACGCTACCGTCTTCACCGATGAGCTTGACATCAAGTTAGAGAAGGCTACCCCAGATATGTTCGGAACCACCGGCTCTATCACTATCACCAAGGAGGACACCATTATCCTCAACGGCGAGGGGAGCAAGGACGCCATCAGCCAACGCTGTGAGCAGATCCGAGGTGTCATGAATGACCCAACCACCTCTGACTACGAGAAAGAAAAGCTCCAAGAGCGTCTTGCTAAGCTCTCTGGTGGCGTGGCCGTCATCAAGGTCGGTGGGTCTTCAGAGGTCGAAGTTGGTGAGAAGAAGGACAGATACGTAGATGCTCTCAACGCAACAAGAGCTGCCGTCGAGGAGGGTATCCTCCCTGGTGGTGGAACTGCTCTTCTCAAGGCAGCCAGTCAATCTCTTGGCGGACTCAAGCCAGCCAACTTTGATCAACAACTCGGTGTCAGCATCATAAAGAGTGCAATCACCAAGCCCGCACGTATGATTGTTGAGAATGCTGGGAACGAGGGCTCTGTTGTTGTTGGCAAGCTTATGGATGATTTTGGATCCGACTTCAACAAGGGATACGACAGCTCCAAGGGCGAGTTCGTCGACATGATTTCTGCCGGTATCGTCGATCCATTCAAGGTTGTCCGCACTGCATTGATTGATGCCAGTGGTGTTGCCTCCCTCCTTGGTACGACTGAGGTTGCGATTGTCGAGGCTCCCGAGGAGAAGGGACCACCAGGCGGAATGCCAGGCGGAATGGGTCAGTAACAATTCCTTCTTATACCCCATAAAGTGCTAACACATAATTAGGAATGGGCGGCATGGGCGGAATGATGTAAGATGAAAATGGCGAAGGATGTTAAATACCCACCATGGTGCAGCTCTGGGATGAGCTTTTTGCTGCGATACTACATGACTGTTCTTCTGGATGGTTGTACAACTAATATTTCACCTCACACCCCACTCAGTCCTCTTTCGAGCTTGGTTTAGATTTGGCATTGCAGAGCGATAAGGTGTTATGAAAGGAATGTGGCATTGTAAAATAGTAAGCCAAAAAATAAGTCAAACAAATCAGACATAGTGCATGGCACTTTGCGGCTGGCTGATGGTATCGGTGTTTCGTCCCAGTGCTTGTCTTGTTATCCAGGGATGAAGATATTCCAGGTAGCAAGCAATAATCTTGGGTACTGAATGAAGCTCAATTGATCAGGCAGCCAGTACCGATTTTTGTCGCAGCACATGAGGGCTTCTGCATGCACATATACATATACACACATATATACGTACATATACGTATATATATGTATATACCTTAAAGGCAGGTAGGGGGTCATTTAAACCGTCAGCTGACAATCCGATGACAGTCTCTTTAAGAGACGATTCCAAGAGGTTAGCATAGTTAGTGGATCACCCTAGGCCGATATTTAAAATTAAGTAGAATCTGAAAACAAACGATTTAAATTATTTAAATCGTAGCTAAAATAAAACTATTTCAATCGATTGAATCGTTTTTTATAAGAGCTCGTCTTTTCGTGAAAAGATTATTACTAAAATAAGACGGTTTTAATCGATTAAATAATCGTTTATAAAAGTCGGTCTTTTTATAAAAAGACCGTTTTAAGACCGTCTTGTGGCCGTCCTAAGGCCGTCCCAAGGCCGTCCCCGAACTTGAAACCGTCTCGGAAAACGTTGATTAATAAGCAAATAATATTTTTTTTTATTCAATTACTTAGCAGTCTACCCTCTGTTAGGTATACTACCCCTTTATCACCACCCCCCCCCCCCCCTCAAGTGCTCTGAGGGCGCATCTACGCGGGTGAACTTTTACTGAATCGATCGATTTCGATTATTAAAAATTTAAAGCGTTGATATATAAGCCGTAGCAGCGATACCGAGAAATATCTTGGCATCGAATTTTTTAAATCATTATTAAAACGATTCCATTTAAGAAATAGTTTTTATTTACAATTGTATCTTATTTGAAACAGTTATCGAACTATTTCAATTTTTTAAAACGAGCTTATTAATAAGCCTATTTTAAAAATATAGACGGGGACGGCCATGGGACGGCCGTAGGACGGTCCCAAGCTCGGGGACGATCAAAAAGGTGAACTATTCTTGATTTGTAACTAGTACTGATTTTAAACGGTCCAATAATCGTCTTTTATAAAAGAAGGTCAGAGGACCGCTCAAATGACCCCCTACCTGCCTTTAAGGTACGTAGATATATGTGTGTACTCCGTATACTCACAACGTCTCGAGGTCCCCTCCCGCCCAAGAGAGACTAGCTTACAAATCACCCCACCAAAGGAAGCATCCACCGATAACTTTGCCCCCCGCCCATTTCCCTCCAACCTGCTCCTAAAATACAAGTTTCCGAATCGCATCGATTCCAAGTCCTACGAATAGCCTCATCTCACCTCACCGTCCCCGTCACGTACGTTTGCAATCACTTGCGCACTTTGTTGCCCGTCCCGTCCCGCTCCAGCAGATCTTTCGCTCTCCAGTTCCCCGCTCTGGGCTGACAACATCGTTCGCAGACTTTTTGATTTTCAACTGCTCGTCGCACCCAAATCTATCGCATCATGGTAAGAACTGCGGCCTCAATATACCTGAATCGTAACGTTCATGCTCGACAACTTGCTGATCCTTGATGCCACTGTAGTCTCAATCAGGGTCAGTCCGCGTAACCCCGCCATCCCATCCCACGATCCTCGGAGCACCATAAAGCCGCAGCCGCGCTCCCCCATCCTCGATTTCGGCAGCGCCAGTATAAATGATCATAAGATGCAGTTTCTTTCAGTAAGAGGCACACATACTGATTACGTGGTGGAGCAGAGTCCAGGTCTCGCCCGAGTGCATCAGTGTCTTTAATGACCTGAAGCTCGCTAAAAAAATCAAGTTCATCATCTTCAAGCTTTCCGACGACTACAAACAAATCGAGGTGGAGGAGTCGAGCGAGGACGGCGACTGGGATACCTTCCGCGAGAAGCTCGTCAATGCCCAGAGCAAGAGCAAGACCGTAAGCTGGATAAAAAGTGCACTGGGATGCAGTCACTGATATTGGTGCAGGGAAAGGTCGGCAAGGGCCCAAGATACGCTGTTTATGACTTCAACTACGACCTGTCGTCTGGCGAGGGAACAAGGTACGGGATTATAAGCCCGGGATCCAGGTTTCCTGAGTTGACAAGGATGTAGAAGCAAGATCACCTTCATCGCATGGTCTCCCGATGATGCCGGAATTCAGGTATGTTTCCAACAGGATTACTAGAGCTGGCTTGTCCTGTCTAACGATCGCATAGCCAAAGATGATTTACGCCTCTTCCAAGGACGCTCTTAAGCGCTCGCTGAATGGCATTGCGACCGAGTTCCAAGCAAACGACGAAGACGACATCGAGTATCAGTCCGTCCTCAACAAGGTCAGCAAAGGCTTGGCATAGGCTTGGCATAGGCTGTCACTATTCTCCAGTACACGTAAAACAAAGGCAGTCTTCTCATGATTGAACGATGATTGAGCGCTGACGCAGGGGGGGAATATGGAGGGAGGGAGGACAAGTGTGTTTCGTTTGGTGCGGGTGCGCTTCATTAGGTTGCCTGCTATGGTTGATGCGATCGATGGGCATAGTAGGGCGATGGATTCGAATTCTGTTCTCTCTCTCTGGCTAGTAATGACGGCTTTCTCCCCTCCATTTTGCAGAAGATGGGTTAAAGGCCGAGATCATTGCATGGATGGGATAGGCTTCGACAACAGACATGAAAATATCAAAAGCTACTTGGCATTTCAGCTCCCCCCTCTGGCAACAACTTATCTTCTCCATCCTCCGATTTTGATATCCTCAACGCCGCGTTGCGTATGCCATACTGGCTGTTCCATTCCTGCGCCTGTACGAATAAAACAGCAAGCACCTGATTCCATTATCCCTCGACAGCTTTCTTAAAAACTCCGCAAAGCCTCTCCCCCTCCCCTTCATCCTTCAATCTCTGCACCAAAAATGCCTTCAGATCTCCCCAAAATGCCTCCGTCTTCACCACCTCGTCTCCATGCCCCATTTCCTGCACCTTTGGCTCCACCTCCTCGCTGCCATCCCTCTTCAGCGCCGCCGCGCCCCCGATAACCATCACCCCAAACTCCACCTTACTCTCGTCCTCCCCTACAAGGTCCTTCAGCACCTTACTATCGGGCGCAGGCTTCTTGTTAAACAGCAACCTGATCTTCGCTACCGGGATGGACGTTTCAACGGACAGCGACTCCTTGAGGGAGAGGATCGAGGTGCTGAGCGGTTGCGAGGAGAGGGTTACGTCGAGCGGGGGATTGCGCAGGGACTTGAGGGTTACTGAAAGGGAGCGTTCGGCGCCGGGGGTGAGCTTTACTTTCTTTGCTAGGGGCTTGGGCATCTTGGGAAGAATGTACTGGTATCTGGTTAGTTTTGGGAAGACATGTAGGAGGGGCTGGAGGGGGCCGTACAGCGCTGCGCGCGGGATAGGATTTGGGGTCTTCGACATGGTCTGCGGTGATCTTTGAGGGCCGGGTGTCGAGAGTTGTGAGGAAGGCCTTTGCAAAGGAGAGTTCCGTCATCTGAATTGCTGTGGCTTATTATGTACTGATCCGAGTCTGAGTCGCGCGTAGCTGAATTTGATGGGTATTTGGCATAAAAGAGTTGTACTGAAGCGGGTTGGAACATTCAACAGCTCTCCATAAATCTTGGCAACTGGTCTTAGTCCGATAAGTAGTACTGCCGCCGCTAGAGCCACAACCACAAGCTTATCTGCCGCCTTTTTTTTTTTCTCCTTCAATATTTCTCGGATTGAAAAACATTGAGATACAGTTGAATTTCCACCCCTCCAAACCACAATTTAATCCGGTTGCATTCAAATCAACTCAAAATGGGAGTCGGACGGCGTATGAAAAAGCAGGGCTTGCCCGAGCCCCTCGACGAGGCTCATTTCACCAACCTGAAGCGCAAAGCTGGCATGTCAGTGTCCGAATCCCGCGCCGAAAGTCTTCAGTACCAGAATACGAAGAAGCGCAGGACGAGCGCCGCCGAGAAGAAAGAGAAGAAAGCCGCCACAGCTGGAAAGCAGAAAGCGAAAGGCAATGGCGCCAAAGGCATGGGTTCCCCGGTGCAGAAATCCGCGCTGAAGAAATCGAAGAAAGCTGTTGAGGTGCCGCTCCCGGACTCTGATGAGGATATGGGGGATGCGTCTGATGATCCCGAGCCGATGGGCGACGAGTTCGACGATCTGGATGCTGAAGGAGGACTTGGAGATGACTTTCTGGAATCCGGGAGTGAAGTTTATGATTCGGAGGATGATCACAAGACGCGGGCTATGTTCTCTGAGGATGAGGACGAGTCGGATGCGGAAGAGAAACTGACGGCGGCGAATATTGCTGGCTTGACTAGGAAACTCGACGAGCAGATGGCGGAAGAGGCGGCGGACGCACAAGCTGAATTGGAAGAGGCGGCGCTAAGAACCAATATTGCTGGAGACCGACCGCACATCTTAGACGATTCGGAGTCGGATGAGGAAGCCGGGCCAAAGAAGAACGAATTAATGGCTCCGGATTTGCAGCTTCTGAGGACAAGAATCAACGATACAGTGAGAGTTCTGGACGACTTTTCCAATTTGTCTGAAGAGGGGCGATCGAGAGCGGAGTATACGGCGCAATTGATCAAGGATATTTGTGCGTACTATGGGTACTCGGAATATTTGGCCGAGAAGCTCTTCAATCTCTTCCCGCCGAAGGAGGCTTTTGCTTTCTTCGAGGCCAACGAAACCCACCGTCCAGTCGTTATCCGTACCAATACCCTCCGAACACACAGACGAGACCTCGCACAGGCGCTCATCAACCGTGGTGTAGTTCTAGAGCCCGTTGGAAAATGGTCGAAGATCGGTCTCCAAATTTTCGAGAGTGCTGTCCCTCTAGGAGCCACTCCTGAATATCTCGCAGGTCACTACATTCTGCAAGCCGCTTCTTCTTTCCTCCCAGTCATGGCTCTCGCACCTCAAGAGAATGAGCGGGTCCTGGATATGGCCGCTGCTCCCGGTGGAAAGACCACGCACATTGCAGCTCTCATGAAAAATACCGGCTGCATCTTTGCGAACGATAGCAATAAATCTCGTGCCAAAGGTCTGATCGGTAACATCCATCGTCTCGGCGCAAAGAACACCATCGTCTGCAATTACGATGCTCGCGAGTTCCCCAAGGTCATCGGTGGTTTCGACCGTGTGCTGCTCGATGCCCCATGTTCAGGGACCGGAGTTATTGCCAAGGATCCCAGCGTCAAGACCAACAAGACCGAGAAGGATTTTCTCATGCTGCCTCATCTCCAAAAGCAATTGCTCCTTGCAGCAATTGACTCCGTAGACCACGCAAGCAAGACCGGAGGCTACATCGTCTACTCCACGTGTTCTGTCACCGTTGAAGAAAACGAAGGTGTTGTCCAGTACGCGCTCTCCAGGCGTCCCAACGTCAAGCTCGTTGAAACCGGCCTCGTATTCGGCAAAGAAGGATTCACAGCATACATGGGCAAGACGTTCGACAAGTCCCTGAAGATGACCCGCCGCTACTACCCACACGCATACAACGTCGATGGCTTCTTCGTATCGAAGTTCAAGAAGATGAGACCGTCGCCGAAGAACGCGACGGGTGAAAAGATGGGCGTCAACGATCAGGATTTCGTCGATAGACGGCCGATTCCCGAAACGGAGGAGAAAGAGGATGAGTTTGGTGGGTGGGAGGAGGATGAGGATGAGGAGCTCATGGAGAGGGCTAAGAAGGGTGCGCTGAGAAGAAAGGGAATTGATCCTAAGGCGAAGAGAGGGGATCAGAGTAAGAAGGGATTGAAGACGAAACCTGTTGTCGAGGAGTCTTCTGCTGCTGAAAGCGCTACGAATGGGGCCGCACTACCCAAGATCAACAATGATGCTCCTGAGAAAAGGCAGAAGGGCAAGAAGTCCAAGCCCGGCCCCGAAACCGTGGTCGACACCCTCGCCGAGGTAGCTCCGGAAGTACTGAAGACTAACGGCGATGTCGCAAAGCCGAAGGAGAAGAAAAAATCCAAGCCAGCTGCTGAGATTGCTGCAGTGGTGCCCCCCGTACCAGAACAGGCGAAAAGTCACGCAGAGAAGCCAAGGAAAAGGGAGAAGAAAGACAAGAAATCTAGGAAGAGCCTCTAAGCAGCACGGGCAATTCGTACAATCTATTGGCGTGCTTGCTTGTATGCATCTATCTGGTGGAGTCTTGGAGTTCGCGGATGTCATTGTATCCGCCTCGTGGTGGATTTGGGGGATCTAGAAATAGGAGTCTAAAATGTTCAGATATTCATAGCTAATCATGTTTTTGCATGACTGGGTTCTTGTTTTGCTCAGATTTCTATCAATCTTTTTTATCAGTGCTACTTGTCCTCTTCGATCGGTAACCGGATACTTCACTATGCAGCGAAAGTTCAAGAATCTGCCGTTTTAATGGGTAGTTCGAAGTTGGGCATTTTGTAAGTCTCGCATCGCACAGGATCATGTCTATTTGTTCAAAGGTGGCGTGGAGCAAGCTCTTTTAATCAGTCCGCTACCAAAGAAGTCTTGCAGTTGACCGAACATTCGCGATAGCCCGAACCGGAACGTATTCTGATCTAGAATTTCCCGTCTTCCCATGTACTTCTTCTTCTTCTTGTAGATACTCCGGCCTTCTTCGGGCACTTGCTTTTCTTGATGTCCGAGTTCCACTACAGAAGCGGCGGGGGAAGGTCTCGGTGGATCTCCCTCTGTACAGTCTTGTCTTGCATGACCCGCCCGAGTCGAGGGATCTAGTCCTTGGGAGAGGAGACATGCTCACCGTGGAGTGCGGAGTAGAAGCCTCGATCGATACCATACCATACGATACGATACTCCTGGAAGAAAGCCCTCCCACACGACCATTTTTTTCGGGAGCCGAACGAACGATCAGCATGGATTTGAGGGTTTGCGGCGGTAAGCCGTGCATCCTCGATCTCTAACGGGCAGACTAGCACGTTGATTGAGCGTAGTCGTGGGGGGTAGTTGGTGTCGTCGCAGCAAGCAGGACTGCATATGGCTTCGTTCCTAAAGAAACTTGCTCGTCGCTGGTTAAGTAATGAGTGATGAGGTCTTTTCTACGACGCGTGACTTTTATTGCCACAGGGGCGAGTCCGCTGTTGTCGTCGGCCTTTGGGCTTTCCGTATGGCGCACATGTTGCGCAACGCCTCCACTGGCGTGGGAATCATCGGGCGTGGGAAACTGGGAAGGCGCGCTTGGTATCTTGAGGGCAGAAATACATATATGTAGGTGAGAACGAAGCAACTGGAGAGATTGGAGACGGGAAAGCAAGCGGTAAATAGAATCGTTGAATGAAGATAGGCTCGATTACATGGGTGTTATCTACCAGGCTGCTGCTGGGGAAGAATCCGACATTCAGGGACTGTTTGTTTTCGAGCTCCGGAAATGGAGAATCGGGGATGTGGGGGAGGGGTGAGAGGACTTGCAGATTCGGTGCCTCTTTTGAGCGGAAGCTGATGTTATGGATAGGTGGTTTGATTTGGGGACCCTGCTTGCTGGAGGTCGCGTGCGTTCTGCTTTGTATGGCAGCAGAGTTCAGTTGGCTTCTTGCTGCAGTTCGATTTTAGATTGTGATCCTGAAGAAGTCTTCACAATATGAGTATGGGGGGTTCTTTTTTTCCCCTTTTTTTGTCTTCCGGATGTTCACTCTCAATAGACAGCACGAGGGCTTTGAATAAGAACTATATTCTTCCTTCGTCAATATCGTATCAAAAACAGGTCCGTGGTATATGGGGTCATTTTATCCCCATCTATATGTATATTTCGGGTCTATTGCGCCAGTATCCAGGAAGCCTGACGCAAGCAAGTCCGGTGTGGAATGCCACTGTGAACTACGGTCTTTGTATCTCCCCCGAAGCTTCGACACGCGTACCCGTTTTCGTGCCGTGAAAACAAACGATTACGGAACAAACAGCACCTGGATGGAACCGAGATCCTCCTTCCTGTTATCAGTTCCTCGTTCTGAAACAAGATGCTTGAAGAATAGAACTAAGGAGTCCGTCCTACTTAGAGCGCAGAGTTGAAGAAACTGTTATGTGTATATATATATACATCTATATACAATTTTGACATCACTCGCCGCTCCTCGACAATCGATAGTGATAACACAGTGCCAGTGATAAAACGGTTGCCGAACTCTGATCCCACACAACCATGAAGCCCCCCGAACCCAACCGCTTCTTTTACCGTCATCTCCCGGGACGAGATCCAAGGATCGCGCCGCATCGTCTCGGACCCGCGCTCGATCGTCATCGACGCCGCCGTCTACGCCGTCTCATTCGCCGAGCTCTCCATGGGCAACACGCAGGGCCGATCCCCCCCCACCGCGCACCACCACTCCCACTCCGGGCGGCCCGATTCCCAGCTGGCCGTGTCCCTCTGCGCGGTCCGGTTCGCGCTCGAGCAGCTGCGGTGCATGCACGCGACGCTCGGCTGCCGGTGGCGCGTCTCGCGCGCGATCACCCGCACCGAAAGTGCGGCGGCGGTGGGGATCCTGGTGTTTGAGATGGTCGACTGGAAGCTGAATGGGTGGGATGATGGTGAGGGTAAGGCGGTTAAGAATGGGGATGTTGTGAGGGGGATTGACTACCTTACTTGACTGAGACGCTGAGGGAGAGAGGGCTGGTAATCATGTTCTGTGTGGCGCCGATGGAGGATATGGACCAGGCTGGAGAGGTGGCGATGATGTGTCTGCGGGTCATTTCGGGAAGATTTAAGGGGAAGTTTCGCAAGTGGCTCTACCAATCCAAAAAGTTGTTTTGAGTGGGCATGTTGGTGTTCTGAGATCACTCGGTGTAAAAAAAGCCTGTGAGCAGGGGGGGCGGTAGGCGAGGTTTGTATGTACTACAGTAAACAAAACTCGGGAACTTCATCGCGCCCACGATCATCCGGGAATTTGCGGACTGTAAGTCAATTGTTAATGATTGAAATTGCCAGATATGCTTCCCTCATCGCCGATGTCTCACCCATTCATTGTAGATCATCTGCTTTCCCATTCCTGTCTCTGCATTTGGTAGGACTGCTGAGCCGTACCTTCCCAGAAGCGGCGCTGACCGGACTTCAATATTTGTAAAGAAAGATTTATCACAGCGTCAGTCTGCACGAGAAAGTGGAATCTCTCCAGACTCTTTTCTGTCACAGCGGTTTAAATCGCACCTGCGCAAATACATTTGTATTATTTAGCAGTGTAATAAACAGTACAATTCCCTCAAAGCTATAAGCCAACAGCCGCTCTGGTGTACAGTGATTATTTTTAAGATGGCGACGTTATTAGTTAAGGGTGCAGATGGTGCCTACAAAATCCACGTCAATCAATATCCTGCTGGTGCACCACAGCTCCTCCCTCCAACCAATCAATACGAGCGTTCCCTCGCTTGACAGCCCAACTCCGGCAATAAAACAAAAACACCCCCCAAAACCCAAAAAGATGAAAAAGATGAAAAGAGCGCGAAAAATCCCCCAAAAAATTGCGAAAAAAAAGAGTAAGTTCGCAATGATCCCCCTACCGCGTACTGCTAGGTTTCCCATGAGCCGTTAAGTAGGGCACGGCACAAGGCGGGTTGCTACATCTTACGATCTAGCCCACAATTCTCAAACACCGGGGTGGACCCCAGTAACCGTTAGGCTAGAGACGCTGGCATTATAGATCAATCACTGTTCTAGCTAATGGCTCCGTTGTTTTGCACGAACTCGGCCATAGCAACACAAACAGATCTGTGGGAGGTTTTGAGTACTGGGGTATATGAAGAAGACATTTAGATTACGGTGCGCGCACAGGGAGGGTTTAGCCGGGGGCCGCGAGCCGAGGGGAAGGAGACAGAGGCTTCGATGGAATTCTACGCGGGGGGAGAGTCGGCCCGGGCCTGCCTCTTCGACTTGTACCTATAGATGTACGGTGTCGGAGTCGGCGGCGCAGACGACTTGTACGACCGAGGATTTGAGTTGAGATGTTTACTGTCTGATGGGTGCTTTCTGGGGATGCAGATTACCGGTGAGCTGCTTTACGATCTGCGAAGGCCTGAGAAGTGCGCGCCGCTGATATCTCTTTCGCAGCTACGGGGTCTTATGTCCACAGGGCTTATCACCAATACGAGACCTCATGAAGCAGAGATACGGGCTGCGGGCTACGAGATACAAGCTACAGGCTACAAGCTACAGGCTGCATGTCGGGCTATACATATACGCACTCCTACTAGTCTTGCACAGATCATGACCCATTCTATCTGTCTGGGATCGGAGAGAGCAGAGTGGTCTTCAGAGCTAGCTATAGGAAGCCAGCGGACAGGACCGGCCTGACTGTTCAGTTCCACCGGGAACTGCACGAGAGGATGTTACAGTTGCATCCAATCGCCATTGGAGAGGTACCTTTCTGATCAGTTAGTTGACACTTGAAAGAGGACCGAGAGAAGCCAGGAATGTGCGTACTCTTCCGGTGGCACCAATACGTAAGAATCTACATCTCTGAAATCCTCATTTCATTCTTTTTCTATATAAGCCTGCTGTTTTGTGGTTTGGAAAAATGCTTGGCATGATTGGCATATTGCAGATCCAGCCACCGCCAGCCGGCGCATGTAGCAAAGTTTGGACGCAACTTTTGGCTGATCTCGCAGAGTTGCTGATAATGGCTTCCTGGGTGTGCTACAGTCGCTGGTACATACATGGTGTTCTGAATTCTGGCAACTAGAAAGATGTTATGCGCCTTGTTGATGTTGACATTTGGTCGGTTGCATAGCCAATCAGAAGCAGCTTGTCCAACATCCCCTTAAATCCCCCCTACCCCCCCAAAAGATAGCCCCGAATTGAACACAGATGAGACTCATTGCGAAGAATCTAACAGCACAGAACACGAGTATGCCCGTGAGTCTTTTGCTTGCCCAATGGAAGCGAATCAACAGAGGGCGGTATAGTCACGTGATAAAAAAACTCGCATTGCAGGGATCAGCCCTTAATGCAAAAAGATTATCATGTTACTTTTGTTTGCAAATAAGAAAGACTATATCAGTTTGCTCTTGGCACTCGGGTCCGTGCAGCAAAGAGATGAAAGCTGTACTCTGTAAAGAAGATGTTACTTGTTGTCCGTTCGTTTGCGCTCTTCTTTTTGTCCACAAGTTCACGACGCACCAGAAAAGGAAAAGCTCGCTCGCTCGCTGCTCCCGGGACCAGATCTACCAGGGGACTTCTACTTACTACCTCCACCACGGACCTCGATCAGCATCAACACCAACACCAACACCTTCACCATCTCCAATCCACGTTTCGCGAAAGTCTACCCCAACGTGCCTCAATTCCTACCGCTATTGCTACCGCTACAGCTACAGCAGCTCCCAGCCTGCAACCCCCAGCACGACGATGGACTACTACGCCGACATCAAATCTGAGCTGCCCGAAGGAGACATCGGCGAGATTCTGCGCACGGGACGTCGTCAAGACTCTCGCGCGCGTTCATCCCACCAAAGTCTTGCCTCACGTGTCGGCCACCTGACCCGTACCGGGCGGATCACCAAGGTCCGAAAGGGGGCTCCCCGAGCACCCCTGGGGCCGGGACGCCTGCCCGTCATGAGCGCGGCGCCGCGGGCCGAGCGGAGGTTCGACACGGAGCGCTTCGGCATGCGTGCCTTTGATGACTTCGAGAGTGGGCTCCGGCGCCTCGAGACCGATCGGTCGAGCATGGTGGTGGCGGTCCACGGCGCGTGCAGGAGCAACGGGAGGGCGGGTGCGAAGGCCGGCTATGGGGTTTTCGTATCCGGGCTGGCCGAGGACCTGAATCGCAGTGGCTTGGTGCCGTATCTCAGCCCTCAGACGAATCAGTACGCCGAGCTGTTTGCCGCCATGAGGGCGTTGGATGTGGTTCAGTAAGTCGGGTCCGGCTTTCCTTCATCTAGATCACGAGAAAGCGGGCGAGAAAAGAAAGCACACCTTCTCCCCCGTCGCCAGATGTCTGCTCACGTACGTACGTACGTACTAACTGGCTGCTGTGTAGCGACCTGATCATCGCCGGGGAAGACCTGACCCACGTGGTCATCAAGTCGAACTTGGAATACCTCGTCCACGGGCTCAGTGTGTCGATCTGGAAGTGGGTCGGCAATGGCTTCATGAACTGTCAAGGGGTACCGATGGTCAACGGGAGGGCCTTCAAATACCTGCACGAGAAGATCGTCTTGCTGGAGCAGGAGTATGGGACCCGAGTCTCCTTCTGCCGCGTGGACCGCGAATTCAACGAACAGGCTACGGCGCTCGCACATGATGCCGTGCGGTAGTATTATGATGGACTTTTTGTAAATACTACTCGATCACGATCCACTACTGCTTTGCTGACACGGGTCAGGTCAGATCAGATCAGATAAGCAACAGATGTAGAGAACATCGTATAAAATGTTAGGCACATAGCAGACAGAGCACGCAGAGCAAAGATCAATGGATGATGGAGTATTGGAAATATCAGAATCGGTATCAACACGCCAATTCTTTTTGTCTGTAATGAATTACCTAGGCGGTTCTCTGCCCATCATCTCTGCCACTGGTACCTAGGTAACCAATCTAGAGCTTCGTATCGATGGCTGACCACGCCAGCCTGTTGGCTTCCCTATTCATAGGCGCATCCCGCGAGTCCAGCCAGAACTTGACCGCAATACCGGACCTCTCCAGATCGAGACAGACCTAGGAACCTCGGAAACCACATCAGCAAGAGCGGCTTTGGTGAGATAGATGAAGACTTCAGAGGCATTGCGATGCGGGTCGCGGGCTGCAGGTCGAGCTGATCTCGGGAGCCAGCTCAAAGTAAAAGATCCCTACCTACCTAACCTGGAACCCTGGGAGGAGAATGTGGACGACGGAGCCTTACTTACACGATGCAGCATCTGAATCTCTCGGGCACACGTCACCGCCTCGCCACCCGCATCCACATAGCCATCCCTCTCCCAGCCCCAGACCAAGTCGTTCGCAATCCGCGGGATGTACGCCAGCGCGACCTTCACCACCACCAGGCCAAGCACGATCGTACCCCGAATGTCCCACACAGCTTGCAGACCCCTCCTAGCCGCGAAGATCTCGGCGCCCTGTGCCATACCCGTTAGAACCTGTCAGCACGCCATCTCTCTCTCTCTCTCTCTCTCTCTCACACACACAAAAACACACACACACATATATACATAAACATAAACCCACACGCCGTACACAACCAAGCGAGATCCCCCCCCCCTTCCAAAAACAACACCAAAAAAACAAAAAAAAACAAAAAAAAATCGTCAAGGGCAAACAATACCTTATTTCCCCCCGTCAGCACCTCCCCCGGAACAGGCCCCGCGAGGTCCCGATCGTCGAACTTGAAGGAGACGCCGTACGCGCCCGTGACGGCCGTGCTGTGCCGGACGCGGGCGCGCACGGCGATGACTACCGCCGAGGAGGAGGAGGAGGAGGCTAGTCTGCAGACGTCGTCTTTGAGATCGTGGATGATGCGGGCGTTTGTGGGGTTGAAGATTCGGTTGGGGCGGCTTTCCATTTCTTGAGGGGGAGGGGTTTTTTTTATCTTCAACTTTTTTGTTGGGGTTGTTTTTGTTTTTGCTCTTGTTGATATTTCTTGTTGTTGTCGTTGCTCGTTTGAGAAAGGGGGGTAGGGGGTTGGGGGTTGTTGCTGATTGCTTAGAGAGGCTTGGAACTTGGAGTGGTGGCCGGCCAAAGTAGGTACGGAAGCTGGGGAAGGGAGGAAGGAAGGAGTGTGCTCGGTTCGGTTTTTTCCCGAGGCACGCCAGAGGGAAGTAAACCATGAATGATATATATCAAGCCGGAGCATATCACACTCACTCACTCACTCACTCACTCACTCACTTACGACTTAGAGCTTTCTCGTCTTTCTTGATGAGAATTTACTTCTCGGCTGTAAATTATCCATCTGTCTATCCTATCTCTCCCCCCCCTCCTCCC